AAACTACTGCTAACTCTTGTGAAGTATAACGTTTGCGGTCAATGACGATAGCTAATGGTCTGACATACTGACCAAACTTAGATTCTTTCACAAACTTCTTGTTAAAGATAACATTAACATTTGAAGCATTATTGAACTCATTCTTGATGGCAGTAGCGAGAGCATTGTATGAAAAGAACTTGCAATCTTGCATGTGTTTCATTAAAATAAAAATATTAAATTATTTTGAAAAATAACTTTAAAAAATCTAATCTAATTTTTTCAAAAAAATATTTTTTTATTTCCTACTAAAGATGTATCGGAAGTTGTCTAAGTTAGAACACTCGGAAATAAAACAACTTCTTACAGAAGCTAATATAGATGTTGCAAAGCATTACGCAACAAACAAAAAAGCACTCGCTGACATCCTCAATGACTATAATGGTGCAATAAGTTATGATAGAATTCATGAGTTCATAAACCGCAACGCGGCGAGGACGAAGTCCATGCAAGAGCATTTCCTTTAAATGACGTTGCTATTGACTTATATCATAGACGTTCAGTACCTCATGAAGTAAGAAGAGAAATGTTTGACATAACAAATGCAAACGTTGGTGAAACAAGAAGAAGAGACGACACACTGAAACAACAGAGAAGAGAGATGTTTAAGAGCGCTATAGAACAAGTTCGCAAAGCTAACGATGTCTTCGTTCCATTGACGACAAACCAAAAGAAGGTGAGAGATGGTTAAAGAAAGATGAAGAGAATAGGAAGAGAAATGTGAAGTCAGGCAATAGACTCATTGACTTTAACATCGAAGCTTTAGATGAACCAAACAGAGACTACTTACACAAACATTTCGGTAAGGTTTTCATGAGACTCTTAGAGAAGATTAAAATAAACTCACAACAGAGATGGATGGTATGTTATAAACTTGGTGGAAAGTATGAATGTTCTACGTTAAACCTCAATAATATTGGAACATTACTACATCAGCTCTTGAAGGAGAACTTTATATCAGAGATAGAAGCAAATGCTGCAGGTATTGTTGAAATGCACTATGACTTCTTCTTGACAAACATAAAGAATCTTACCGAAATAAAGATGTATGATTTAACAGAATATGAAGGCTTAACGATGTCAGATGTAAAGAAAGGCAAACCAAAAAAGAGACCATATAGAGATGAAAGCACACTGACAAATGACCAGAAAGCCATTTTGGAAGCTCTTAAGCAAACAGGAAACCCAGCACTTATAGAAAGCTTTTGGAAAGATAATGGTGAAAAGAAGTTTTATAAGAAGAGAAGCGGTCAGTTCTGGAAGTATCTTTGCACATTACCTATAAATCTTGAACGCTACCAAATTTTCAATGAATTGAACAAAAGAACTGCAGCACTTATGACAGAAGATAACTGCTTCGTTTATGCTTGCATTCAGGCTGGAGTAAATGAAGAAACTATTGACCACATGAGAGAAGTCATTCGTGTTAGAGACTTTCCTCAAAGTAAAGTACAAGAAATTTCTGACGCAACAGGTATAGCATTTAATGTTACCATTGGTTACTTCAATGACTCAAGACATAATGAAATAAAGAGATACATACCAAAAGAATATGAAACTGTTCGAACTATTGACTTACTTCTTGTTGAAGACCACTACATGCTAAATGAAAGATTACCAATGACAACATATTTCATTCGCAACTATATAGAAATCTTGAAGGAGTGTGGTGGAATGAACATTGAGAAACAGATGAAGATTTATACAAAGAGAGAGACAAATATGTAGTTCGTTATGATAGAACAACACCGTTATGGGATGTTATGAAAACATTGTGGGAGTGCAAATATTTCGAACCTATTTCTTATGGAGAACTTTTCACATATACGACTGACTTATATAAACAGAACCTTGCACCATTTAAAGATTTGACGTATGCTCCAAAGTATTGTGTACAACTGAAGAAGAAAGCCGAGTCAAAAGAAGTAAATAAAAAAGTAAGTTCATTCCTGAGCACGTTTTCTTTGCTGACTTTGAGTGCAGTACCGATGGCTTTCATAAAGCTTTTAACATATGTTATGACAGTGAAGATGGTTCAGTGAGTGAAAGCATTTGGGGTCAGAACTGTGCAACAGAATTTTTGGAGCGACTTCCTGACAAGAGTTTAATATATTTCCATAACCTCAGTTATGATATAAACTTCATCTTAAGACACATGACAGAAGTGAAAGGAACTCCCATCATTAAAGGTTCACGAACAATGCAAATAACTGGCTTATATAAAGGAAGGGCAATTATTATAAAAGACTCTTACAGTGTTATAAATAAGAAGCTTAAATTATTTCCTGCTATGTTTAACTTACAAACAGGACCGAAAGAAGTATTTCCATATAACTACTACAGCAGTTTTGTTAGAATGACAACAGAACTGGTGTCATTTCTGAAGCATGTAAGTTTGTCAAAGATGAAACATTCATGAAAAACATAGATTCCATCAAAGGTTGCAGAATAGATGAAACCACTTCGACTTAGAAAAGTATAGCACATTTTATTGCAAACAAGATGTAAGAATTTTAAGAGAAGGTTTTGTTAAGTTCCGCAATGACATATTGAAAGAATTTGATTTAAACGTTTATGACTACGTTAGTATTTGTTCTATTGCTAACAAATTGTTTGAGAACAGAGTGTACTTCCCGAATGGAAATTTATATGACCTCTCAAATAAACCAAGAGAATTTATTTCACGCTGTATTCAAGGTGGAAGATGTATGCTGTCAGATAACATTAAACAAAAGAGCGAAAAGAAACTCATTGCTGACTTCGACGCTGTTTCATTATATCCATCAGCTATAGCAAGACTTTATACTTTAGAAGGTATTCCAAAGGTTATGAAGAAAGAAATGTTAAGCACAGAGTATCTCATGAGACATTTATTCGATGACGACCAAAAGGAACCCATTGGTGAAAAGTTTATGTCTGGCTTCTTTGTTCTCATTAAGATAACAGAGATTGGAATACATAGACACTTTCCTTTAATAGTTTGTGACCCTGAACTAAATCCAGAACTTAACGTTCCCAGAAGTTCAAACACTTGCTGTTTAATGTATGTTGACCATATAACATTACAAGACCTCATAAAATATCAAGGTGTCAAATGTGAAGTGTTGCAAGGATACTATTACGATGGAAACAGAGATATTAGAATAAGAGATGAAGTAAAGAAGTTGTTTGAGTTAAGGTTAAAGTATAAGAAAGAAGGAAATCCTTTGCAAGAAAATATAAAGCTCATTCTGAACAGTATTTATGGCAAAACTATTCTATCTCCTATTGAGTCAAAAATAACCATAGTAAATGACAAAGATGCTATAAGATATGCCATCAGAAACTACAACCATATAGTGAAGTTCGAAGGTTTGGATGGTTCAGATAAAACTATTTTCAAGCTAACGAAAAGCATTTGCAGACACTTTAACTTCTGTCCACTTGGTGTTAACATTCTGTCTATGTCGAAGAGAATAATGTGTGAAGTATTCTGTACTGCGAAGATATGGGACTTCAAATATTTTACCAGGACTGTGATAGCATGCATATTTTCAATGAAGACATACCACTGTTAGCTCAGGAATTTCAGAAGAGATACGGTAGAGAACTTATTGGTAAAACATTAGGTCAGTTCCATTCTGACTTCGCAGAAATAACACCTGGAAAACAAAGTTTAGCATACAAGTCAATATTTTGTGGAAAGAAGACTTACATAGACTTACTCACGAACGATTTAAATGAAGTTGCATTCCATGCACGTTGTAAAGGTGTAAAACAAGACGTTCTTGCTTTAACAGCTAATGAAATGTTTCCTGAAGCTATACAATGCTATTACAATGAAGATAAGAACATTCACATACCTGTTGGAACATATGACAAAGACTCTGAGTTCAGTTTAATGAAACTTTACAAAGCACTTCATGATGGTCAAGAGATTGGATTTGACTTATGTAAGTCTTCTAGTCCTTGCTTTGAAGAGAAGTTTAACTTCTCAATAACGACTAAAACAAGCTTTATTCGTAAGTTGAAGTTCTGAGGTCATTTATTTTTGTCAGCAATGAGGTCATTCGTGATAAAAATAATGAGGTCATATATTTTTGTCATTTATGTATAACCATTGTCTCTCTTAAACTTTGCAATAGACAGCTTTGTTCTTCTTCCTTCTACATCTGTAATGTTTATATAATCTTTGCTATACTGTCTTAAGACATTCATTCGTCTGTATTGAGTTCCCATGAAATAGTAAAAGACATCTTCACTTGGGACATAGTAGTAATTTTCTAGAGTAAATTTAGAGTATTGTATAATTTCAACAGCATCTTCAGGAAGAGTGTCTACAATGTCAAACCAATAGCCATTCGAACCAGAAATATTTCTCATGTTTTGTCTTCTCGACACCCACCTTAAGTTTGAGATATGAAAGTCTCCTCTGTCTCTGTTTATATGGTCTACTTCTCGAAGTCCTTCAGGATTCGGTATAAATTGATTTGCAACAATTTTATGCTTAAAGAGTTTATGTTTGTTTAAATAAACACAAATATAACCATCACCGTTGTCAAACTCACTTACAACTCTTTTGTTACTTATGCGCCTAATTGGATAGGGTACTCTGAAAAGATTTCATAGTCATTGTCATGTTCGAGTGTTTGCCAATGTCCTTCACCTTCCATGCCTTTCACTCAAATAAAAATTTTCAGAAAAAATAAAACTAGCGTAGATTTTACAATACTGCGATGGTAGAGTTTAAGAGTTGTGCTTCAATGTAGAGACAGTCCTTATGGTCTGGAGGTAAGAACACTGGGCAGTTATGGTCATGAGTGGAGAACATGTCTATCCAAAACTCACGATTGAAGCCAGTTAATTTATAGTATTTAGGTTGGTGGTGTAGTTCTTGTATGACCAATGAACTCATTTTCAACTCCCTTACTTAAGTTTGAATATAATATAGCTTGCTTTCTATCCCAAATGCCAGGTGTTACAATCTTTGAAAATTCATTTTTCCTCGGAAGCATTGCATCATAATTGAAAACATTCTTGAAATCATCACTTGGTTCAGAGATTTGAAATCTTATACGTAATGGATTTTCTTTCTTTTTAGCTACTTCATTGAATGGTGAGAATACAACAAACTGACAGTCATGTGTTCCATCTTCATTTTCATTAAATTCATAATGAAAGTCTATAAGTTGTGGCTGACTACCTTCTTCTTTCAGTTGTGCAAGAAACTCACGTAAAGGCTGTAAAGTTTGTACTTCAATGTTAAACTTTTTCTCGAACATTTCATTAAATGAAATCATACATTGTTGCAATGTTGTATCGTCTTTAAAGTATTTGTATATGTGAATGTTTTGGGCGCTTAAAGACTGTTCGTCATTTTCTATCTCGACTTGAAGTATAAAGTCAACCTTTCTGAAAGCACGTGTTATATACATAGATGTTATGCCAATGTACTTCTCTTCATTTATGTTCACAATCCAGTCTGTTGGAAACTTAAACGTTACTCTGTTCCCCTTTATTTTGACGTCAGGGTTTTCACTACTGAACGCAACAGATAAAGGTATTTGTCTATACATTTAATTCGGATAAAAATAAACCATTTACTCTTTCTTTGCTTCAGCTTCTTTAGCTTTTGCTTCAGCTTCTTAGCTTTTGCTTCAGCTTCTTCTCTAGCTTTCTTCGCCAGCAAACGTGGGTTCTTTTGTCTTCCAGCAGCTAATGCAGCAAGTTGTTTTTCACTAAGTTTTCTCTTTGGTCTCTCTGGCTTTTGTTCTTGTTTTTGTTCCTTCAGTTCGGATAAAATTTGCTCACGAATTTCTTTCTTCAATGCTTCAACATCTATGACCCCTTGGGTCTTGTCCGTAGGGCTTGTCTGAGTCATTTGACTGCAGATAAAAAACAAAATTAAAACTTTAACCGATGAAAATGAGCTTGTCAAAATCAGAGCGAGAGTCTATTATATTAAATGACGCAAGAGGAATACAACATCCTTTCTATTACGTAAGTCAGAGTAAAGATGGTAAAATATACGTAAGAAAAAGAAAGGTTCCATTAGCGAATGCAGAAAGCGACAACATTAAGGTGTATGGCAAGGGTGAAGTCCACGAAGCCCATGTTAAGCCTTCTATTCAAACTGAAAAGTCAATAGAACCAGAAGAAAAGAAGCCAGATGTACTTTCAATAACGAACCAAGAGCTTATTGCAAAGTTCGTGAATTTCATTGAAAAACAAACCGAGTCAAAGAATCCTGACCCGCCAGTGAAAGAAGTTGAGACAAAAGAGAATGTACAGTTCATTGAAAATGTCAAGAAACAACTTCCACCACGAATGCCAAGAAGAAGAGTGAGAATAATGAAGTAAATAGATATTTTTATCGAAGTAAATACATGCAGAACGAACAGCTAAACGAATTTACTCCAGCAGAGCATATTCATCAGATTCGCTCATATTTCGATATCATAGACAATGCAGTTCAAATTGGTGACACTAATAGAAAATATTCTGACGCAAAGATTCCATCACAACCTGGAACTGCTAAAGATAACACATGGGTAACATTCAATCTCTCACCTCCTGGTGAAAATATGTTGGACCTTTACAATACATTCATTACGTATAAAATGGAAGGTCAATTTATTGTAGATAAAGAAATTGGTTCAGGTTCCAATAAAACAAACCCACCAGGATTTTGGATTGGTTTCGATGACGCTTTCTATGCAGTTGCTGGATATCAAATCCTTGCAAATGGTCGTATCGTATATTCTCAAGACAACGCAAGAGAAGAAGCATATATAACTTCAAACTCACAAACTACCGAACAAATAAAGAAAGTAGATGTTTTCTCAAAGACTCGACATGAAGATGTATGGAGTCATTCGGGAACATGCAGAACAGGACAAATTGTTAGTGGTCCAATTACAGCAGGAAAATCATTTGATTTTAAGCTTCGTTTAAGAATTCCTGTTAGAAGATTCCTTCCATTAGAAGCTATTCGATTTATTCCAGCTTTTGCAGGAAACATTCAGCTTAAAGTAAAGTTCAGTAGCGACGCCTTACAATGCACATCTATATCTGTAAATGATATCATTGCTTTCAATCCAACTCTTAAAGTTGCATTTGCTTCAGATTCAAATCCACCGACAAATAAATTTGTTCCATGGAATGAACCATTCACTATGATAACGAAGGCAGTAGAAGCTAGTGGAACAGTTACTATTACAACTGTAACCCAGCAACTATTTCGAACAAAGATGGATTTTAATGAATGTTTCATTCATCCAAAGTCATTCTCTTTAGACCCTAACATTTATACAGAACTTGTAGAACATTATACAAACGAGGCTTTATGTTTTCCTGTTAAAGTTATGGATTGGATTCCTATGGACGGTTCATTCTCAAAGAATACAGATAGTTCAAGTGCAACATTTACAGCAGCTTATACGCCTATTAATGTTAAAAGTATTTGGGCACTATTTAGAAAGAAAGACAACTATTATGTTAATTTTGAGAACCCTAAGTTTAAATATCTTCAGCTTTCCATGGGAGCTTATGGAAATATGCCTGCAGAACCTGAAAAATCATATGGACCTGTATTTTATGAAATGGTTGCGAACGCCTGCAATACAAACAATGATATGATAGGATTTAATGAAGATGTTATGAGGTCATTGGTGGATGATGGTAGTGTGGAACATAAATGGGATAGCTATGACAACACACATTTCTTATGTGGTTTTCCAACAGAAGTGGACTTTTGCTTCCAGCAAGGTCAAACATCTACTGCTCCAATAACATACAAATTGTCTGTTAAAGGACCTATTGAACTAGCAACTGAAAATGTACCAAAGCCACTTATTGGATTTATGAGGGATTGTTGCTTTGCCATTCAGGTGCGTGCTAATGGCATCCCCATAATAAGATTAGATGACTATAACTTAGCTACGGACGACAGTGAGGAATAAAGGATGAACGTTTATTTTTAAAGCTTATAAATGAGTTCTTCATCAAGCTCTCGTGAACCTTCACCATCTATGAAACAAACTTTACCAAACGATTATGGAGCACCTATTGAATATTTCTTACGAGCTGCACAATGGCAAAGAGCAGTCTCACCAAGGTTAGGTGTTCCACTAGCTCCTGTCAAAAATAGCATTTGGTCAAGTCCTTATATAAGATATGGTCTCCCACTAGGTTTGCTAGCTACAGCAGTAGCAGTTATGATGTTGAAAAGAAATAAAGCAAATGTTGTAAATAATACTGAAGTAGCTGAAGTTAAACAAACTCCAACGCCTTCACAAGCAAAACCTTCAATGACTCCTGAACCTATGGAAGTACAAACTCCTGTTCAAAAGTCAACTCCTAAACCGACTCCAACATTTAAACCAGAACCTACTCCTCAAATAAATCGTAAAACTCCTGCGTTTCCTTACTGAAAAAATAACGTTATTTTTATTTAATATTAAAATTTTTATTTGATTGAAATGACAAATAAAGTCACTGAAGCAATGAAACAAAAGTTTTTGGTAGAATACATTAAATCAGGAACTATTCCAGAAGGTTTTTACATTCATACTATGAAGGATGGTAGAGTTCAGTTTAGAAAGATAAAGCAACCATTAGATAAAGAAGGAATTTTGAGAAAGATTAAACTTCATGAGGACAACATTGCTAAACTTAAGAAGAAGTTAGAAGAGTTGGAGAAAGGAAGAGAGTTATAAAGCAATGAATTCAACAGGGTGAAAAAACAGGTGAAAAAAGAGGTGAGATCTCACCACTTCACCTAAATTTATTTTTGTGCTATGTTTTCATACGTGTGAGGGTGGTGATATCATTAATTTTTAAGTTTATTTTTTATTTTATTTTTATATAAATGACGAAAACTATTGAGATAACAAACTACAACGGTCATGAGTTCAAGAACTTGTTCTTCGTTCCTCGTGAAAATACATTCTATCAGATACGAGGGAGAAAGGGTAAAGTTAGTTTGAGCGTTTATGAAGGAATGAAGAATGGAAAGTTTATACAAGCATACGATACTGTAATAAACAGAAATTCATCAAAAGTGACAGCTCTCAATTTTTTGACATTTGTAAATTCTAAATTGAATGAGAAAAATGAAATAATACTAAGCATAATACAATATTCTAGATTTAATTATAATTAGGAAAAGTTAGTTTTGAGAGTACTTTTCATAGGCATATAGAATGAAATCTTCTGAAAAATAATATCACATAAACTCATATTATTTTCTAATATATAACTATTTTATATAAAAATCAAATTCAATGATCTTAAAAGCGGAGGATAAACCTCAAAATTTACGAATATAATGAGTGGGAATATTTCATATGGTTTTATGATAGATAAGCATTATATTCCCACTCATTATATTCGTTAATTTTGAGGTTTATCCTTCGCTTTTAAGATCATTGAATTTGATTTTTATATAAAATAGTTATATATTAGAAAATAATATGAGTTTATGTGATATTATTTTTCAGAAGATTTTGTGTTCTTCTTCAAAATTTTATTTTTTTATTAAAAAGAATCTTTACAAAATATACATTTACTTTAATTAATATTTAAAAACGTGCTCTATCAAAAGTTCCAAAAATTCAATATTTTAGCTTTTCTGAGGTGTCACTTTTGATGAATTTCTGTTTACAACAATACAAACGGTAAACGTGTTTCATTAGCTTTGTCAAAACTTACTAACATTTATTTTGACAGTGATTTTGACCTATATGAAGAAGAAAGTGAGTCAGAAGAATATGAACTGTTATGTGAAGCACAGCAATGGGAGGAGTTGCAATACTTTTGTAAGTGAGAATGTTTATTTTTTTACAGTAGTGAGGTGAAGTGGTTGGCGGCTTTGTAAATATTTAAGGTTAAGTTGGTGTTTGTGTTTGTGTTGTAAAATATACGTTAACGGTTTGTAAAGTGTCAAAACCGCTAAGTGGTGTACGGAGGCGCGCAGTGCCTCAGTACACGACTTAACCATACTAACTGACTCTAACTCTTAAGTGCTTTCGTATTTCTTCGATTGCTGCATCAATTTCGGGGATAATTCCACTTGCAAATCCATTGGCATGTTCTATAACATGTAATATAACATTTGGCGCATCAGAATTTAGGGGCATACCAAGAAATATGAATAAGTATTTGATTTCTTCTCCATTTTCATCAACAGGACCTTTTTGGTCTTTAGAGGACCAGGTAGAGAGTGCAACTGCATCTATTGCTATTGCCCATTCATATTCAGGTGTATTTTCTACGTGATAGTTCATGCTTTCTAACATTCGCGGAATGAGCTCAGCATGTTTAACAAACTGTTTCATATTCATTATGTCTTCATGAAACCTATTGTACAATGTTACAGGCGTAGGAAAAGGTAAACAAAATTCCAAGAGAACATCATATGCTGCTGGTGATTTGCTATGTATTAAGAATGCCAAATCTACCAATTCACTTTCACCTCCATATCTATAACCTCTTTTATCTTTTCTACAAATGTTTTCCATAATAGTATGTATAATATTTCTTGTAAATTCAGGAACATGTTCCGGAAATTCTGTATTCCAGTAAGTATCATCGTTGTCTTTTTCTATTTCCTTTGTTTTTCTTCCAATATTCTTATTCAACAGACTTCTGCGCATTTCAGCCTTTATTGCGTCTAAGTCTTCTAGGTAGGCTTTATACATATGCATTTTTCCGGTTCCTGTATACGGGAATACCTGAACATCAGTTTCAAATGATCTTTTGTAAATTTGTTTTCGAATATCTTGATTAAATTTAACTAAAAACGTTTCTCGGTCTCCTTTTATTTCAATTTCAAGTTCTTCAATCTTCTTTTTAAGTTCGTTGATGTCTGAGAGAGGAATATAGAATCCAACATTCATTAACTTTTTGAGAGAATGTCAGACCAATCTGAATAAAATAAACTTAATATTTTCTATAATTTCATACTAGAATAGAATTGGTAATGATATTTAATATCTTTTTGCTTCACTTGTAGAAATTATTTTGAAATTAATTTTTTGTAATCGACAAGATACAATTTTGTTATGACCAAATGTTGTCACTACTAATTTAAATTCCATTTACAACAGCTACTTTATAAACATCCATCCAAAATTGAAGATTCCTAAAATTTCAAAATGGAAATATGCAATATGAATGATGAAATCATATCCAATAGTTATGAAATTCATCATACATAAGATAAAAGATAGAAAAATAAGCAAATATGAAAATTTAATGCATAATGATATGTGAATAACTGTAAAATTGCAAAACCACATCAGCATCAATTATTGGCATAAATATATATTCTTTTGATTGTATATGCATTTCTGTTTTGGAAATAACTTTCAGATTAAACTTGTTAAGCCCATTCATAGATAATTTGCACGAAAACAGTTCTGAACAACTTAGAAAATGGTCTTTGTCTAACTACCAGAAATAATTTATTGATAGAAATGTCTTTTAAAAAAGAAAATTTCATATTAGGCATCCGTAAAGGTTTTTGTTTGAATGTTGGGGTTAAGGAGTGTAATAGTCAAGATATTAGATAACTAAGTGTATGAAGTTGTCATCTATGTTGATAACAGCGGAAAATTAAAAATAATTATTAAATCATAACTTTTTGTCTCATGAAAACCATAAAAAAGTATAAAACTAAAGGTTTTTGCATGTGAACTATAGAAAGCTTTAGATTCATAAAAACTAGATTTTTTTTTGATATTTTGATTTTTGAGGTATACTTTTAAAAGTGGATTTAAAGCACTGATGAAAAAACATTAACTTCTGTCGTTATGATTATTGATTTAGACAATAATGATTTTAATCTTTGATTATCAAAACACTAAAGTCATCTTTTTAACATTTGCTTGGTAGCATTAACTCAAGTCTAAAGTACTATTTTATGTGGCACTCTTAGAATTTTTGTATTCATTGTACACGCTGAAATAGTACCATTAAAGATATGAAACTTTACAAAAAACAGTTAGGATACTATAAATCTAACTGCCAATTTATACACTTTCGGCTAAGGAGAAACATAATAAATTTGACGCTTTTCTTAGCAAGGAAGCCATATTTTTGATTTGATATCATTTTTTAATACAAATTTATATGTGTTAATGCGGGGGTAAACGATAAGCGCAATTACTTTTAGCAAACATACTTTGAAAACCAATATGCTATAATTTTATATTATAATTTGAATAAAAATTGTAAATTGTTAGTTCTTGATGCAGCATTCAAAGATAATAACAAGATAGAACGATTTTCAAAAAGGAATGTTTGATTTTATCATTGAATTAAAATAAAATTCTAATAGTAATATATATGTCTGTGTTATAATGAAATTGATGGTATACGTTAGCACCAAATTACATATGCTAGTAAATACAAGCCACATAAATAACATTTTAGTATGTCTGCAACCTTTTTTTTTGAATCATGAGTAAGTAAGAATATTTTTGTAACAAAATGATATCATGTATCGAAAGAACATACTTTATTGTTGTATCCTCTACTTTTCCAAAGATTATTGTATCTCAAATCTTAATTCTTTAGATGGTAAACAAAAACATTCATGCAAGAGACATTCCAAGGAGCATATTACACTGTAGAATCTTGAAAAAGTTGGAACTAATTAATTCACTCCAGAGGAACAATGTTGTATGCATTCAATTTTAAAATAAAAAAAAACTATATATTATCGAACTTAATACTTTGGGTTTTCATATCTATATACTTCTTCCAATGAACTAATTTCCAAACAAAGCAAAAAAAAAAAAAAAAAAAAAAAAAAAAGGTAGTGGGGCTTCCAGGGGCTGCGCCCCTTCTAGCCCCGAAGATGTTTAGTAAAAAAATGAGGTTTTTATATACGGGTCTTCCAGGAGCTTTTCACAAAATATATATGTTTTCATGTTTTGTCACTTTTCTGTCACTTTTCAGGTAAAAACATTTTTATTATATATATATAAAATGAATTTTACAAAACCACCGTTACCCTTCTTTGGAAATAAGAGTAGATGTAAAGATATTATATTGAGAGAACTTAAGAAACTACCGAATGGTCTAACATTTGTAGATTTGTTCGGTGGAAGTTTCTATATATCTCATTTGTGCCATACTGTATTTCCTGACTCAAAGATTATATGCAATGACTTCGACAACTATATGGACCGTCTCAAACATATACCAGACACTAACAAAATATTGAAAGAGTTAAAAGAAAAGATACCTATAGGTAAGATGGAACGAAGATGATAAGTATTACCATTAGATAAGAAAAATACTGTCAGAGAGGTTTTGAAAAAAGCAGAGTATATTGACTGGGATAGTATATCTTCTAGACTATTATATAGTGGTTCTATAAGAGTTCATGACATTGAAACACTTATGTCAAAAGTTTTATATCTTAACTATACAAAGGTTTTCAAAGAGGACATAGAAAAATATACTGAGGGTATAGAGTTTGTGAGATGTCGTTGGACAGAGTTGTATGAAAAATATAAAAACAAGGAAAATGTTTTCTTTATAGTAGACCCGCCGTTCTATAACACATGGGATTTTCAATACCAAGTAGACTGGACTTTGAGAGACTCTTTAGAAACTTTAGACGTTTTACATAACCATCCATGCTTTTACTTTACATCCGATAAAAGTGGTTTGGAAACCGTTATGAGATGGTTAGAGGACATACATGACTATGAGTTTATATATGACAAGATAGAATATGAGAGAGGTCCTATAAACTGGAGAAAGTGTCATAACAAAGAAATTTTATTAGTAAGTAAATGTGGTTTGAAATAGGACTACTTGTTTTAGGTTTTTTCCATTGTGTCATTTACTTATTTGACGTGGCAGAAAGATATAGAGAATATGAAGATGAACCAATGCCTGCAAATGTCCAGTATATGTACTCGTAAGAGATATTTTTATCTAATATTAAATGGACGCACAGAACTTAGCGAATGCACAGCAACCTGGACAACCAAACCCAGAGAATATTCCAAATGAAGTTAGAATACAAACTGCAATGGCAAACTATGGTCAAGTGCCAACAGATGTACAAATGCAAAACTGCCATGTCAAATGACGCTGCGTTAGGTTTGCCACCATGGTATGCAAATATGAGATGGAAAGAGTTTTATACAAACCCCGAAGTGGGATATAAACAACTTTATGCAGATGACGCGAACACAGGAGTTGACCCAGAATATGTTTTCTACCAGAGGAGAAATAGAATGTATGAGCTCCAGTTAAAGAATGCAATGGAACTCAGAAGGAAACGTAAGAGACTAGGTGGACATTAGATTTTTACATATAGTAAAATGGGTTTCTTCAGTAGTATTGGAAACTTCTTTCGAAATGTTGGAAGAGGTATATGGAATGGAATAAAAACCGTAGGAAGAGGAATTTGGAACGGAGTCAAAAATATTGGTAAAAGAGTAGGTCAGTTCGTTGGTATTATACCTAAAGACCCTGAACCAGAAGAACAAGCTCCTGTTATACAACAGCCTGAACCTGCACCACAGTCTAGTTGGCAACCAAATCCAACACCTCAACCGTATTAAAAATTATATTTTTACTGTTCGATAGTAGTTGTATATGAGACTAAGTTCTAAGTAAAACGCATGGTATAATGGAACTATTCTCTTTCTTCCATCTGTTGTAAACCATACTTGAAAGTCTGAAATACTTCCACTCGGTGGTTCATATAGCTTTGTAGGTTTTTCGTAAAAGTCATTTGCCAAGCATAAAAAAGAGTTTTGTGCACCAGAAAATGAAGCATGAACGATAATAGCATCTGAGTCGAAAACATTTTCATATGTTCCATTAGGGTTTTCGACTTCATAAAAGTTCGGGTGTACTGGATATTCTGCAGGCTGATTTAACATCCTCAGAAACCTATACCATGCCAAGTTGTTATATTTTGTAAATATAAACGTCTTCTCCAAGGTCTTCTATTCTATTGAATTTAACAGTTGCATTTTTCCTGTCATATAAAATATCGAGATGGTACTCTCCTTCGTCAATGTTGTACTGTTTTGCATATTCGAGATAGATATCGTTTATTTTTTCTTGAAAAGCTTGAAGAGTTGTTTCTAAGTTTACAAGCAAACTAACTTGTAAAAGTTTTCCCTGTTCAAATTTCTCATACGTACGTTTCTCTTTGTTATAGTATCGAATTTCAAAAGCGACCGTAAATGGGAAACCATGTATGGCTTCTGAAATGAATTTCATTCTACGAAAGCCAATAGCTTTTGTGACGGATGGGTCTCTTAGCCATCTTAACGGGTAGTCAAAACGATAGCCTTCATGCTTTACGGTCTCTGTCTCAAACTTTTGACCGACATTCGTAAAAAGTTCATCTAATGGTTTAGTTGTAGCAACTCTAGAATTTTCTTTTTCTATTGAAAGCATATTTTATCTAGAATAAAAATGTCAAATGAAACAGCGTCTATGAGAGAAATAAAACACAACCGACAACTCATTTTGCAAGCTCTAAATAAGAACACAACAAACTTTTCAAACTATTCTAAGATATCTGAGTCATTGAAAGAAGGAAACTTAAAACTGACGATAAACCCAATGACAGACGAGTTTCTGTTTCAAGACAATAAGAACCATACTGTCTGTGTAAATCCAACAAAAGGAACTTTAAACGAGAAACCTATAAAAGAACTTCTTTTGAAAGCAGATGTTGACAACAAAGCTGACAAAGAGTATGTCATTGAAAAAGTTCAAGAAGAACATGACAGAGCAGATGCAACATATGCAACAAAAGAACATACTCATCCTGAACTAGCGGACAAAACATATGTTGACAATAAAATGTCAAGTGAAGTGACAAGAGCTGACAAAGAATATTCTAAAAAGACTCATACACATACCATTGCAAATATTACAAACTTACAAGAAACCTTAAACAGGAAAAGTGACGTTGGACATACACATACCATTGCAAATATTACAAACTTACAAGAAACCTTAAACAGGAAAAGTGCCGTTGGACATACACATACCATTGCAAATATTACAAACTTACAAGAAACCTTAAACAGGAAAAGTGCCGTTGGACATACACATACCATTGCAAATATTACAAACTTACAAGAAACCTTAAACAGGAAAAGTGCCGTTGGACATACACATACCATTGCAAATATTACAAACTTACAAGAAACCTTAAACAGGAAAAGTGACGTTGGACATACACATACCATTGCAAATATTACAAACTTACAAGAAACCTTAAACAGGAAAAGTGCCGTTGGACATACACATACATCTTCTGAAATAACAGACTTAAACGTTAGCCTTGAAAAGAAAGCAGATAAAACATATGTCAATGAAATATACCAAAGTTTAGTTGGAACAAAAAATATTGAGACTATGGTTGGTGACTTTTCTGTCAATGAAGAAAACAAATATTTTAGATGGCAGTTTGTACATTCCTTAGAAAATGGTACACGGTATAAACTCATTCCGAAAAATAACAATGAAATGTATGTAATATAAAAAGAATGATGGTACACAAGTTAAAGTTCCATTAGACAACAACTGCTACTTAAACATATATGGAGACGAACAAAAGAAATATTTAAGAGTTTATGAAATGGCAGATATGACATTACCTGACCCAGCTCCAGCACCATACTATTATGACTATGGAGATGACGTTAGAACACCACATGTAGATGAACAAAAGCTAACATTATATTTAGATTTTTATAGATATAAAAGATATAATGCAATAGAAAAAACGAGAATAGTATACTATTATGAAGATGACAGAAATAAATATTATAGTCAAGACTTTACCTACCCTGAAAACATAAGATTATATTATAAAAAATATTCTGACACAAACCAGAAGAAACCTGAAATAGTTGCACTATATTTTAAGTTCAAAAGAGACAATCCTATAATATCTCATATGTTTGATTTAATGAACCCAGTAGGTTCTATTTATACATCTATGGAAGCAAGAGGTCCTCAAGTAATGTTTGGTGTTGGTGCATGGGAACAAATAGTCGACAGGTTTTTGTATTGTGCAAACTCTTCAAAGGAAACAGGTGGAAGTAAAACGATTTCAGGTGAAAAACTTACCTGCGCACAGTCACTACATAGATTTAAGTACATCTCAAGCAGGTTGGCATAGGCATAGATATTGGGATTGGTCAGGAATGACAAAAGGTAAAGGATATGATGTTAAAGACGACGTTAAGTTTGCTATAAATTGTTACTGGGATGACACTCAGGGAGAAGGAAACCATACACATTTCGTTTCAGGGTATACACAAACAACGGGACAAAGTAAAGACTACATGCCACCTTACATGACAGTTTACGCATGGTATAGAATTGCTTAGTCGTCATTTTCAACTTCTTTAGCATATTCGTCAGGAGTTGTCTTATATTTGTTAGGAACTGTCTTTGAAAGTATACCACCTTGAACTTTGACAAGTTTGAAACGAGGTCTGACAATAGTAGTTTTATCTTCTGCTTGCAGTCTGTACATTTTGCCATGTTTGCCTAAAACTTCATAATATTCTCTTGTATACTTTCTTCTATTTTTACGAACACGAAGGTGAGTACCTGTCGGGTTCCCATTGTTGTCATAGTCAATAGTATTTTCATATGGGTCGCGTTTAGGTATTTCTATTTTTACTTTGTCACCTTTCTTAAGTTTGAAGCCTGGCATTCTTTCTTGTTTGTCTCTTTTGACTAAACTATTAAATATATAGTCTTTCTCTAAGTCAGGGTTGTTTTTCATTTCTTCGGGGGAGTGGTTTCCCAAACCTTTTTGTTTACGGTTATTGTAAATATTTAAAACTTGTCTCATCTTTGCCATGGAGAAATGTCTATATTTGTCGTCATATGACATTTCATTTGCTTCACCACCTTGTGGTTGGTTTAAGTCTCTTAAGATTTTTATACAACTGTCAATGACACCAAGAGCAGAATGGTTTTGGTCGACAATGAAATATTGGTTTACATTTTTTGAACGCAGATAGTTTTTAATATCGTCTGATTTGAAAGAACTTTCACAGTCAGATGTCAGTTTTGTTGGATGGTATTTGTCAACGAATATTGTCAAAGCAGTTTTCACATCTAAAATATTTTTGGACCATAATGGTATGGCTTCACAGTATCTTGTGTTTTGACCGACAAATATTAGCCAGTATGGAGGTCCATCTTCTCTATACCTCGGAATGTTTTCCAAGATATCCATAAAAGCATTTGGTGTTGAACTAAAGATTTTTATCATGAGTGCTTTCTTTGTTGCTTTAGAAACATAGGGGTCCTTGTTTGGATTCGTCATTTTTATCCTATAAGAAATGGGTTTATTTGGCGCATTAGCAGGAGTTGCATCCAGATTTTTGCCCGCAGTGGGAACAATAGCCAGAGGTGTATTTGGAGTTGGAAGGAAGATTTTGAGTACATTAGGTATACTTAAAGAGAAAGCACAACCTATTATACAAACTGTACAGAAAGGTTGGGAGGTAGCACGAGATGCAGCAAATCTTATTCCAAATCCTGAAACAAGAGGAAAAGTTCAAGGATGGATGGACAATGTAGGAAGAGAAGCAGGAAACTACTATAACAAAGCAAATGACTACTATAACCAAGCAGGGCACTATATGGACCAAGGTGAAAGATTCTTTAACAGAGGATATAACCATGCACAACAATGGGTAAACAACAACCAACCTCAACCGCCTCAAACGTGGGGAATGTAAATTTTTTTACTGAGATGAAATGAACAATACAGCATTGAGACAAATGGGTTCAAGATGGATTTGTCGACTTCCAGCAGTTACACAACCACGTGTTTGTCAAGTTCTTCCTATACCTCAGGAAGTTTTAGACCGACTTAAAAAACCTAAACAACCAGTTGAAAACAAACCAAACTAAAATTTTTTACTGAGATGAAATGACCGAAGAAGTTGAAACGGTAGATTTGACACCACAAACAAAAAGTTCAGAACCATTGTCAAAACCTGTCAAAGAACTTACAGATGAAGAGAAAAATTCAATAATAGAAAGTGCCAGGTCTGGAAATACAAACCCTAACTACAAAGTCACTTTTCATAGAAATGGAACGGCTAGTATCTCAAAAAAGAAACAGACTCTCACAAATAAAATATTGAAGTCTGAAGGAGCTTTCGAGACAACAGATGGAAAAGTTTACTTCACTGACCAACAGTTCATTATAGAACATCTCATTGACTTAGAGTCGAAATATTCTAAACTTTACAACAAACACAAAAAGTTGAAAGGAAAACAAAAACAAATGGCATATGATATTTATGAAGATGTTGACGACACAACCATACCTGCAAGTGAGGTAAAGTCAGAGGAACCGAAAAGTGACGAAAAACCGATAGAAGAAGAAAAACCAAAAACTGAAGATAAACCAAAACCAAAGTTTAGTTTCCAAACTAAACCAAGTCAACCTTCATTAGCTGGTATGGGTTGGCGTCAAAGACTTATGGCAGCAGGCGGTTATGTAAAGTAAAGAAAAAAATATTTTTTTTATTTTTATAAAAATGCCCCCATATAGAATGGATAGAAAATCTGCTAGAATAAAAGCAGAGTTAGAAAGATATGGTTGGAAAGTTTCAAAGAATTTTAAATATAGGAAGGGAAGACCCATAAAAGTCTATGACAAATTGTCTGGTCTTCGCTATGAAATGGACTTGGAAACAGCACGCGCAAATTATCCAAACAGACTAGAGAGGTTAGAAGAAGAACGTCTTATGGACATGCCTTTCGATGTTAGTGAGCCTCAAGTTGAAGGACACGACGGCTTTGTCAGGTTCTACTGGAAACATGACGAACAATTGCATCCTTTGAGAAGGAAAAAAGGAAAAGGTGAAGACGCACATGCTCCCATGGAAAGAACAAGATATGCATATGAGAAGTATCGTGAAGTTAGAAGTAAAATTACATCTGGTCAAACCTTTACAGTAAACTTTGACGATGGAAAGAACAAAGAAGGCTTCATGGGAGTACTTGCTGCAATTCAAGACGGAAATAAGAAAGGATACAATCTCAGATTGACCATAACAGATTTGGATGGTCACATTTACTATGCACATGGCAATGTCACAACAGCTGCAATGCTTCTTGACGCTTTCAAGACTACAAAGAGAGAACAAATGGTTGACTCCGACTCAGACATTTTGAATGCAATTGAAGGAATTGTAAGCGTGAAGTTCGAATGGTACCAACCTAACCCTCAAGCAGTCAGACAACATGCTGGATACTTCCCCTTCATAAATAAGTCTGACATTGACTTGACAAGGTATGGAATTTACAATTCAATTGAAAAAATTGTCAACGAACCTTGCATTCTTACATGTCTCAGGAACTCTGGTCTTGTTACAGAAGAGAAGATGAAGTATCTTGAGTCATGTGTGAAGACAAGGTACATTCTCAGAGGTCAATTGGCAAAAATTGCACCGTTGGCAAATGTCAATATCCGAGTCAACATACCTACAGCTAAAGGTTCTTCACATGACGACTATGTTGTTGACAAAGACTTACCATGGTTGAAGATTGTAATTTTCCACAACCACTTCATGTTGAACGAAAGTCTTACAAACCCATTGTTCGGAAAAGGCAAGTGCAACATTGTCAGAGCTGTTAACATTCTTTTCGAGAAAGGTTTGTTGGAACCGATTCCAGATGACAAGCTGACAGAAAGTTTTGTACCAAAAGACGAAACAAACTTTTCACTGTTAGCAAGACCAAAAGTTGTTCCAGACAAAGTTCTAGTACAAAAGAAGTACACAGTTCCAAAAGGAGTTGGATTGTTCGGATACCAACCTGAACCAGAAGAACTTCCAATGAGGTTGCAAGAACTTCAAGATGCTATAAACAAACTTCCATTGAGACATCCAATTGACGTCAAATTGTATTGGAGAGCATCTGAGTTAGGTCAGAAGGTTTTATATGAAACAGGTTGCTTCGACGATGTTTATGAGATAACAGGAGAAGTTTCTCAGAAGATAAGAGACTCACTTGAATTTCCACGAACTGGACCCATTGGATGCGACAAGTTCGACTCAGATGAAAAAATATACTATGTCGACCTTAACGCTGCGTACATGAGGTTTGTCCAATATATCCCGACTGGAATTCCAAACGAAGATGGTGAGTTCCCAGGAAGGAACTATACAGTTGGAAAAGTCATACAACAACTGTATGATATTAGGAAAGCTTCAAACCCCAAACTTGCAATGACACTCAAATTGCTTATGAATTCGACATGGGGATATTCCATTAAGAAACCTCAAGCGATGAAGAGTAAACATTATGAGAAGGTCGACAACTTTGTTGAAAGGTTTTCTCCTTTTGTTTTGAAGTACGAATTCACTCAAGGTCAAAGTGGCTTAGTAACCACATTAAAACCTATTGTCGAACATTGGTCTTACCCTCAGTTCGCAAAGGCAGTCCTTGACAACTACAATGAGTTCTTCTCCGAAGTCAAATCCAAAGTGAAGGTTTACTATGAGAACATTGACGCACTCATGACGAACGAAGAAGGATACAACAAACTCATTGAAATGGGAATGGTCGGTGAAAAGATGGGTCAATTCAAATTGGACAAAATTTTCACCGAAGTTCATGTAATATCGAAAAGGAAATATTGGGGTGTTAAAGAAGATGGTGAAATAGTTAAACATTGCATGAAATAAAAAATTTTTATTCGAATTTGAATCGGACAGGTCGAGTTACACCATTCTTGGTCTCAAACTCATATATAACCTGTTTGTTTGTATTTTCGTCGACTATGGCACGAGACACGAACATTGACCAAACGTACAAAAAGTGTCATTTCGGATGGTCACGCAGCCAATCGCATTCGAGCACTTCGAAGAAGCCTTACGTTCCAAGGGAGAGGGTGTCTGGTGCAAGGGAGAGGTCATGAGACTCTACGAGCAGTACATCCTCAATGCCTGGGAGGACAAATCGTCCTTGGATTGGCAAATCTACCAACTCCTCTGGGACGACCTCCTACGCAACTGGGAGAACGAAAGAGTCCAATTCAAAGGTCGGGAACTAATTTTGCAAATTGACCTTAATTTCACATACTTATCCAAATAAACACCTAAATTTACTTGGGGTTTCCCCCTAAAATAAAATTTTTTTACTCTTAGAACCACTCGAGGTTCTCCTTACGGTTGTTGAGCTTGTCACCGTCAATGTGTCTGACCTTCGTCTTCTTGTTTGGATTTGGAACCCATTGCATACCGACAAGCCTTCCCATGGAAATTGTACCGTAATTTCGAAGGGTAAGGGTCAAGTGTCCCAAGTTGTTGAGGACTGGGGTAAGAACCTTGCCTGTCTCCTTGTTGCGGATTTGGTATGGGTAGGGTTGGGAAATTTCGTAAGTGTCATCGGCAACAAGGGTTGCCCAAACTTCCTCTTCTTCGTGTTTCTCTTCTTCCTCTTCTTCCTCTTCCTCTTCTTCGTGTTTCTCTTCTTCCTCGACAATTCCTTCTTCAATTTGGTACTCACGAATTACGGTGTTGGAGGTTCTGTCCTTTCCGAGTACCTTCCAGATGGCATCTATCTCTTCGAAGAAACGGTAGATGAGTCTGGCAAGGTCTCGGTTCTCTCTCGCGTAAATGCGCAAGGTTTCCGTCAAATCGTTCAGGACTTTCTCATTGGAAGCTTGGTTCATGAGGAACTCACCTTTAAGTCCCTTCATCTCTTCCATAAGACTACTTTGGAGAGTCTTAACGGTGTTTGTCAGATGAGCTTTCAAATTCAAAATTTGAATTTGAACTGGGCGCTTGTCTGGCAACATTGAAAGGACATCTGCCATTGTGTTCGGCTTCGGTGCTTGTTCGGACATCGAAAAAATGAAGTGGTTTGAGAATGACGGTTTTACTTCAAAAAGCTTGTTATGACGGTTAAGTCATACAACAAGTTTAAAATAATATCTTGTTCTTCTTCTGAACGTTTGTTGTCTCTTCCGATAAAAGTTTCGAACATGAGAACCAAAAAACGTTTTTTGAGATTGCGGAAGAGTTCAGGCAAAACGTTCATATTCTGGATATGTTGGGAGCAGTTCAAAACATCTGAGCTGACTTTCGGACAAAATTGGGACAATGTCAGAAAATTCATCTTTGGTCGGACTGCTTGAAGGTAAGTCCCTTACATGTAAGTAGCTCTGGTAAAGTCTTCTCATTTCTGCTAACTTTTGGAGTATAGCTTCGTAGTTTAGAAGTTTTAATTTTAATTGTCTTATTCCACTCTTGACATCTAAACGGTAACTATCCATGAGGTCAAGAGTAGCTTTGGTAGCTTTAAGTGGAGCTATCTGTTCCTTGACTCCTGCAATTTTGGTTGCAATTGTGGTTTGAGCTCCTTCAAGTTCGCCGTCTATGTCGTTCTCAACGCCTTCAACCATGGCTTGAAACTCTTCATCGGTCCATTGAGATTGGTGTGGGACGAATTTAACTTGCTTCATTCAAAAAATGAAAAAAAATGTTTTTACTCAAAACGTTAAGGTTGACTGAACTGGTTGGATGTCGCCTTCACAGGTTATGTAGAACGGCTGACCCGAGAAGTGAAGGAGAGACTGAATTGCCAATTTCATATGGGGTAGGGGGTTCTCCTTGTTTGGTATTTTTATCCAAGGACGTTTGTTTAGGAACTTAACAAGAGCTTCTCTTTTGGCGTCCTTTATGCCATCGTAGGCTGTCCCGTCTGGTATTTGAATTGGAATTCCAGTCGAAGTCTCGAGCTGAAGTGTAGACCTTCCAGAAATAGTGGTGAACTTGACCTTGGGCTTCATTACCCTGCGCAAGTACTGCTTAACAACTTCATTTATCTCTATAAGGTAAATTGCCTCGTCAAATCCTTCTGGTATTCCGAGTCCTTCCATCCGACAGGAAAATATTTTCCCGACAACTGGAAAAAATTTTCCCGACGACAGGAAGGACTCTTCCAGTTGTCCGTCCGTAAACCATTCAAATTTTCGAAAATTGAGAACTTTTGGTCGAACTTCAGAAAAAGTTTTTCCTTCCGACAGGAAAGGTTTTTCCTTCCGACAGGAAAGGTTTTTCCTTCCGACAGGAAAGGTTTTTCCTTCCGACGGTTAAGCCACAAACAGATGTCCGACGTACCACCAACCGAGCCCATTCCCAAACCAGAGGAACCTAAAGCACCAGCCCCTGCACCTCAGCAACCTCAGTTCCAGCAAGTCCCTCCACCAAATTACTACCAATTTCCACCTCAAGGTTACTACCTACCACAAGGCTTCCCGAACTACCCTCCTCCTCAGCCTATGCCTTACTTCCCCAACCCTTGGATGTTTATGCAAAACCCTGCCCCACAATTCCAATCTCAATCCAAGAGAGACCAAGAGTTCGAGGAAGGTCTGAACCGCTTACGCAAAGAGTATGCTACTACCCCAATGGAAGAAGACAGGCTTTCAGTCTCTTCCCTCAAATCGACCGATTCGACTCGTACCACAGATTCGGTTCGTGACCGTGAAGACTACCTCAAGCAGTCTGAGAGACTCTTCATCCTACAATCATTTACAACTGGAGCTCTCAAGAACATGCGCAATTACGAAGGTCAGACACCAGCTGGAGACCGCAAAACAGACGTACTCGCAAGAGCAGTCCAACTGGTCAAGACAAAGACTGAGATAGTCGACTTCATTCTTGCAGCTTGCCCATACAAGTAAAAAAATAAACAATTACGAGTTAAACTTTTTATTCTTTCTTTTCTGAGTTGTTTAGAGCTGGTTTCTCTTGTAGAAACCTTTCGTACTCTTCCATGGTCATGTAATTGCGAATTTGGTACGCAATTCCAGGTTCGTTGTTTTTGAACCTTACGTATGTAACGCTTCCATCCTCCTCAGGGAAGTAAGCTGCTAACATCTGACCAAGTTTTCTCGGTGACTCGGAGCTCATAAAAATGTCACTTTTTAAACGTTAAGTTTTTAGTCTTATTTTACCCTTTGTTTGTCAATGTAGTATTGGAGTGCAATTTCTCCAAATTCTCTGTGTCGGAGTTCTTCAGCATTTTCCAAGGTGTACCTGGAGAACTCAAAGAAGTTGTCAAGAACATACTGCCATGCTGCTCTTCTGAGTTCGTCGGTATTTTGGAAGTGTTGCACCTTCGAGTCTTCGGACATGAAAAAATGACACTTTTTCTATTAAACCGTTTTGGCATTTCTCATGAGTGAGTATAGTTCTGCCGAACCATTGGAAGAGAAGAAGTACTCTTGCTGGCAAAAGACAAAAATAGTTGCCTTAGTTGTCATTGCAATTGTACTCGTAATTGAATTCATTGTACTTCTCTTCACGTACATAAAACTCAAGGACGGCATATGCTTTAAGAAGCTACCATCTTACTAAGACTAAACACTTAGATTTTTCAAGCTTGACTTTTTACAATTTGAATTTTACACCCAAAAATATATTTTAGGGTAGATGGGTATATCTAACCTGTTTTCTAACCTCTTTTCTACCCTCTTGAATTTTCATGACTTCTTCGTAAATGTTTTGTCATGACTTCTTCGTAATGAGTGTAAAGGACCCAAAAATATATTTTAGGGTAGATGGGTATATCTAACCTGTTTTCTAACCTCTTTTCTACCCTCTTGAATTTGTCATGAGTTTTCCCGAAATAAAAAATAAAGTTGGTTTTTTTAAAAAAATATTTTTTATTTTTATTGTAAGAACATGTTAGCAACAACAGCACCAAACTCGTTAGTCATGAACCCAACTTCAATGTTAGTAGAGATGAAAAGCTTCATTCCTTCTTCATATACTTTTGAGACAGAAATCCAGAAGATAAAGCAAGAACTTTTAACAAGTAATTTAGACTGTAGTGCGAAAGATGAAACAAATGAACAGTATCTTTATGAAATGCAGGATATTATTGACCATTTACCCAAATTGCCTGAAATCCAACAACAAAAACTCACTATTCCAGAATTCGATGAAATAGAAGTCAAAGCAACTGACTCAGTAGAAATAAAGAAGTTCATACGTAAGGTTAACTATGAGTTTCTTGGATTTCATTGCAACCACAAAGTCATGGACAAAGATTGCGACATGGTATATAAGAACATCTCTGACATATACAAATCTGGGGAGTTTAAGACCTACGACAACTTTGTTTCGTTAGTTGCAAAATGTGTATGGCAGATAAGAGATAAAGATAGAAGAGGTAAAGTATGGAATGAACAGATAAAACCCGCAACTTTTGAGTTAAAGAAAACCATTGACGCCTTAGTCATACTAGCAGGTAAGATTTCAATGTACAATGCTAAAATGAACCCACAATGTTCAAAATGTAAAGCAGCAATGAGGAAATATAACTACTCCGTCAAAGAGATAGAACGTATGCGAAACGACTATGCTGACTTAAAGAAAGAAGTAGAGAAACCAGCAGAAGATAAAATGGACATGTTGACATTTCTGAACAAAAACTATCCAACAGCTGACGATTTCCTTCTTTCAGATGTCAAGAAGAAATATAAAGAAACCTTCGGCATTGTTAAAACATTCGATGTACTGACAGAAGAAATAGAAGCTACGAAATTGTTTAGAATTTCACGAATTCACAATGTTTACCATGTAAAACGCTTATAAAATAACTGGGGTAGAAATGAGGTTAGAAATCGGGTTAGATATACCCATCTACCCTAAAAATATATTTTTATTGAATTCTGAGTAAAATTCTGAGTAAAATGACATATGGAACACGTACTTTTTCAGTAAGGACATATGGGGTAGAAATGAGGTTAGAAATCGGGTTAGATATACCCATCTACCCTAAAAATATATTTTTATTGAATTCAGCACAAAACTCTTTATTTTTCAAGCTTGACTTTTTACAATTTGAACTTTGTTCGCGTAGATGTGAGTTCTGAAAGAAGTATGAGGGTCTTGTATGACTTTGTACTTCTCCCAGAGTTCATGTCTGTCAAACTTACCTGCCATGGACTCTTTCATAAGTTCCATGAAATCGTCTTCGGACAATCCAGGGAAAAGTATGATATCAGTAAGTATTCTTTTAACATCCTTACTTAAACTCTTTGCTGTCTGTACACAAATGACAACTGAGATGTTAAAGTGTCTGAGCTTCTTAAGAATTCGACACATATCTTGTTCTCTATTCTTAAGCAAAGGATGAGAAGCAAAGTCATCTAAGATAAGAAGACATCTGTGAGGGTAAGTCTTCCAATCGTAAGATTGCAATTTCTTCGAAATGTATTCTATCTCTTTCTGTTTGTTTCTGAAGTGTTTCTTCTCTAATATTCTCTGCATTTCCTCATTTGGGTCTTTAAACTTAGAATTGACATACTCATTTATAGCATTATACTTCAAAACCCTTCTTTGGTACTTCTTTATCCAATCTAACAACTCAGTATCTTTTATACATACTAACTTAGACTTTTTTATAATATCTTTGAACGAATTTACGGTTTGGTCAAATTGACCAGAAGTACTACAAATGACAACTAACTCATAGAATGGGTTCTTCTCATCTAGTTCTTGTTGTTGTGCAGCCATTTTAAGATAAGTGAAAGTCTTACCCGACCCAGGTGGTGCGATTAGACCTGTTATACCATTCTGAGCAAATAAGAACTTGTCATGTATAGGCTTTATCTGAGCATTTTCTAACTTCCTCTTGTTCTTGTTTAAAACATTCTCAAATTTCTTGTCAATGTCAGCAAACTTTTTTTCTAACATATTTTTAGAAAAATTAAAATTTTTATCTTTTAGAAAATGTCTAGCGATTTCGCTATCTATATTCGAGACAAACTTTTTGACAGCAAAACATCTGTCGACCATAAAATCTTACATAGTGTAAACAAGAAAGGTGAATTTGTTCTAAAGTTCTGTTTCTGGGAATATGACAAGAACCATAAAACATTACAAAGAGCAGTCTTAAAATTTGTCAATGACAGACTTGTTGACAGAGATGACGCCGATTGGAAAGATGAAGTCCAACAAAAGTTCTTAGAATGCAAAGAAGGCACATGCGCTGTTCTTGAAGATGAAATAGAAAACAGAATAGAAGAGCTATTAAAGGACAAAGAACTTTTACATAAATATGGTTCTGAGAAATTTGACATAACTCCACCAGAGAAGAAGAAGAAGAGAGAAAAGAAAGAAAAGAAAGTAGAAGAAAAGAAAGTAGAAGAAAAGAAAGTAGAAGAAGAGAAGAAAGAACCTGAACCAGTTCCAGAGAAAAAGAAATTTGACATGTAAAAATAAAATTTTATTTTTAGAACATTTCTGGGTCAATGTCAATGTTCTCTTCCTCTTTAGGAGCAAACACTGGCTTAGACTCTAAAATCTTTTTACCTAATTTACCTTGAACTTCAACTATCTTAGACTCATAATATTCATAGTCGTCTGCTTTCTTTGGTTCATAAGGTATAACAAGTTTGTATGCTTTGCCTTCTTTAAGGTTTGAAAACCTTCTGTCAAAATTTTCCTTGACTGTTAACAAACCTTCTATGTCTAAGTCTTCAAATTTCGCACCATTTTTAGTCACAATAGCAAACTTAACTGGTTCGATGTTCCAAACTTTGTCAAATGTAGACTTTTCAAAATGGTAGAAGTAAACATTCAAATATGTGAATGGAGCTAACTTATCTTTGACTTCTGTCATGTACTTGTTGACTGAAATATATTTCGTCATCTTTTCTATCGGATAAAAAAATATTTTTTTTAAATTTACTCAGAAAAATTTTTCTTTGTATATACGCCGTTCTGAACATCTAAAAGACTTTTGACATTTGCCAAGAATGTTCGTTTAGAAGCTGCCATATAACCATATTCTTGACAATACTGTTTATACGAATCGTACAATGACCTTTCATCTAAACACTCAAAGTTAGTCTCATCTATAAACAGTTCATATACACTCTTGTTTGCTTCTAACAATGTTTGTCTTTCTTCGGTATGTGGAATTTGTCTTGGATTGAACTTAGAAATATCTAATGTCATGAAATATGAGAACAAGTGGTTGTAAAAGTTAGGTGTCAAAGTTTCTGCTAAGTCGTCAAAATATTCTGTATCTTGCATATGAGAATCTGACGTTCTGACAACTACATATCTTCTGTCAGAACTTTCTAACTTCATCGGAACAACATTGTTTGAAACCATGATGAAATTTGCAACATTTTCACAAACTCTTTGGTCTTTATATTTCTTTCAACAACTCCAACTTTGTCTGTTATAAGACTCTTCAAAGCATCTGAGTTTAAAACTTTTGTTGTATCTATACTTTGAAGTTCGTTACATACTATAAGTTTCATATTCTCTATTGAAGAGTTAAATTTACCGCAGATGTTTTCTAAGTTTGTCATATTAGGGTTCGAATAGCCCTCTAACAGTTTGCATAAGATATCTGTAAAGAAAGTGTTCTTACCAGTTCCTTGTTTTCCAATTATAATGAGAGCAGTTTCATTTTTAGCACTTGGATATTGTAAGATGTTTGCAAACCAAACATAAGATATACTCATAGACTCTTTCGTTTCCATTGCATATAATTTCTTTGACATGGTCTAACCAAGCTTCTATAACATTTTCTTTCCATTCTACTTGTTCGTATTTATATCCAGTGAAGATAGAATAGAAGTTTGGAGATGGTGTATAGAACTTTATACCACGAACTGAAAAATCTTCTAACTTTGACAATAAGATATCCCAAGCATCTAACATCTTCATGCCAACTTGTACGACTTTTATTTTCTTAAGTTTCTGTCTACATTCTTGTTCTGAAACTATGTTGCTCTTGGTTTGTTAAAGACAACATCCCATTCTTTCATGACATAACATTCTGGGCAGAGTCGACATAAATGACTAAACGTTTCAAATTCTCGACTGCTTTGTTATAGTCTCGAAATGGACACATATTTCTGAACGCTTGGAAGTCATAAAAATCTGAAACGTCTATTCTGTACATTTTTATAAAAATAAAAAAAAATATTTTTTTTATTCTTGACTTTGTTGTTCCATTTGTTGCATTTGTTGTTCTTGAGCTATTTGTTGTTGAAGTTGTTCTTGTAATACAATACTTTCACCAGTTGCATCTTCCAATTCGAAACTTTCTGCCGTCATTGACAAATACATAGGACATAAAAGTTTTACAGGAACAAAGTTTGCGTCAACTAAGGTTAAGTTTATGTTTGCTAAAGTGTTTGAGTTTACTAAAAGCTGAAAACTCTGCATTCGAATGAACAATAGGCAAACCAGCAGAGAAAGTGTTGTTTATACGCATGAGTATCTTTTGGTCATAGTAGTTTCTGTCGACATTCGAATAGCACTTTGAACCTAAGTTTGAAACAATATATAAAATAGGTGTACTTAAAGTCAATGGAACAGACACCTTGTATGACACCTTTTCCTGTTATAGGAAACTGTTGGTAGTAAAAACCAGATATAAGTTTTGTATTATAGCTCATATCGTTTATAGTAAACTCAGTCGGACATCCAAACATAATGAAACCTGCTCTAGTTGCAGCACATGTTACATCCGTCCTTAAAGTATTAAATAAGTCAACAAAACCTGTTGGTGGTATATCTGAGTAAGTATCTTCAAAGAAGTATTTTTTACCATTCACAACAACAAAGTCTTCTGGTGTCAAAAGAGCAAAACAGGCTTTAGTCGTCATCGTGTTTAAGGTAGTTTACAATATCGTCCTTGAGGACTTTGTAAGTTTGTTGTTATAGAATTATATGACTCAGGGTTTTTAGTCGTAATAGTATAAACCACTATGTCTTCTGCCATTTACTTAGCAAGTAAATTTTAATGAAATGTTGTGGTCGTCAAATATTTTTATGACGTCTGGGAAAACTATATTTTAAGTTCAACGTTTCACCTCCTTTCATAACGTATATCTTGTCAATGACATTATATGAAACACCACAGCAAGCAATGTCGGGTTCTATTTCTTTGATGTTTATATCGTCTGCCTCTGTCAAAAGTTTCAATAGTTCTTTCAAAACTTCATGAGGTGCAATGACATATGAGTTCACTTTTACAGGGTTGTGTTCGACCAAGTTTAACATTATACCCAAAGCTTGACAAATCTTCTCCTGAGTTTTAAGTTTGTCTTTAAGTTGTTGGTAGTCGTTTCGAATATCTGCAACAGAACTTAAGTCTCTGCTAACTTCAGGGTATGTTGGTTGTTCTTTTACAGGAACTATTGTTATACCATCTTCGTCTTCGTATGGTTTCCCCACTTCAACATCTCTTTCTTTGACATTGACAACAACACTTTGACTGTTTGTTTGAGTTGGTGAATTTAACTTCACATCTGCCACCGCCATTAAACCTTTTGAAACACTTACGCTTCTATTTTTCGGAAATGACATTTTACTTAGAATAAAAAGATGGACGTATTTGAGTATCTCTTCGAATTGAAGCAGAACAAAGTTTACACACACAAACAATACAATCATTGACAGAATAGTTCTTTACACAAACAATGGAAAATGTTATAGAATAGCAGTCTTTGCTGAACCAAAATATTTTCATAAAGCAAAGAAAGTTGGTATAACTGAAATGGTGAAAGTTCTTGAAGCAGACAAAAATATAACAACAAAACTTGACGATATTTCTAAAGGTAAGTTTATAATACAATTTTATGTCAAAACTGGCGTACTGTCAATATTTGACGGAGAGAAGTCAGTTCAAGAACAACTTACTGACCTGCTGCCAAAATCTGCTCGATGGAAGCTGTCGTTATGCCAATCTGAGGAGCCCCAGCAGGTTTCATCGAACGAATCTTCAAAAGAGCATCTTCCGTGAAAAGTGCTATTGGTTTTGTAAACTTCTTTGCTTTCAATTCATCTGGACCGTCTCTGTCACCAGTATATTGTATTTGAACTGTACCAACAGTTGAAATACCACCCATAAAGTCTTCTGAGTCAGCAAATGGAATGCCAAGCCAAAAGTTTGAACGGTCTCCATTTGTATATTGAGTTGTTTTGAGCTCCTGTATGAGTCCATACTTTCACATATGGCATAATAGAACTTTGCATTTCAGGGTTAATTTGTTGTGAAGTTGTTGTTAAAGTTCATAGCATCTAATGTCAAGTTGTATGACCTCATATCCTCAACTGTAGAATATTCTTCTCTTGGATAATATTTGCCATCTATGTTTATATGTATTTAATACCAGGGTTGTAGAAGAAACAAGAATAGTCATTTATAGTTCGTCTGAACAGTACAAACATAGTATCTGCATGTTTCATTGCAGTTGTTAAAGGCAATATCTGTTCTTGCACCTGGGTCAGCACTTTGGTTTCCAACTTCACCTGCAAAGTCTTTGACAGATATTTGGTGTATAGGGAACATAAGTGGAACTGCAATATATTTGGCAGCTAAAGCATTTGAAATATCTGGGTCCAACATATAGACTGCAAGTCTGCTTTCTATTCTCTTGCATTCAAACTTTTTCGCATGTGAACTTAACTGGGTCCCAAGCAGTTCCAGCAGCATTGAAATAATAGTTTACTTCAGTGTTGAGGTTTTGAGAAACCAAAGTCTAAGTCAACTTTGTCTTTTGCAAAAGTCGGCGAATGACATTTTATTTGTTCCACTACTTCTGTAAGAGTGAATGGGTCTTGTGTTGGTGCAATGACTAAGTTATTTTTTGCTTGGAGTAAGTTCGATAGAAATTTTTCCTGCCCAGTTTGGCAAGTATCTTAAAAACCTGAAGATGAGGAAAGATGACAAAGGAACTCTAAGTTTCATTTTACTTTGTTACTGCTGCTGCAGTTTGTCCAGAAAGGTTAACATAAACTCCTGGAACGTTAGGGTCAAGTCTTCTTATTTTCTCAATAGTTGCATACTGGTCTGTTTGTTCTCTAGCTTGTGGTTGTACTGAGTTCTCAAAGCGAACCCCATTCATCAGTTTGCCCATGTTACTGTTTGAACTAAGTCAGAGTTAGAATATATCTTATATCCCATGAAAACTTCTGGAGCATATTGGTATCCGACATAGAAAATTCCATTGCAACCTTTCTTGTCAGACAACTTGGCAGAAGGTTTTATTTCAATGTCTTGTTCCACGTATAAGAAAGAGTTGTCAATAGAAATTATATTGAAACCTGTCGCAGCAATATATCTACTGTTGTTGAAGAACCTTCTCCAAAACTCACCTACGTTTCCATAAGAAACAGCAGTTGTATATTCGTAAGTTCCAGGAACTATTTCTGACCTTCTAATGGCATTGTCGCATTCGTTATACCATTCGGAAACATTTCCATTCATAGCATCCAAAACTGTTGGCGTTATATTCTGAGCGGCGTACATTTCATATGAGTAAAAATATAGAATAGTTGGATTTATATGTCATAATAGAACCCACGTGGACCAAGCTTTACTTTCTTCCTGACTGAGTTTTTAACTCTTCTTTTTCCTTCATTGCCCTCTGCTTGAAGTTGTTGCATCTTTGCATTATGTTCATCTAGTATGTTGCAAATTTCCCATGTCCTTTTTGCCTTTTGGCTCTGGTCGCCCATCTCAGGTAACCTATATCCTAGAAAGAGTTTGTCATAGTTTGTATTTGAGTCGTCGCGTATTGTTTGCATGACTCTTTCCTGAGTTTCGGTTCAAGCTCTTCAAACAGTGCCTGTCCATATGGAATAAGCTCGTTTCCAAATATATGTTTTTGTAGCCATTCTGGTTTTCTTTCCATGTTACCAACTATATCTTTTGTGAATGGGAAAGCTTTTACCCAATCTTTCAGTCTTGCGTCGTTTATTTCTGTAGTTGGTTTTATTTTGTCAAGGAACATGTTTTTCAATACTAACATTTCATTTGGTACTGTCCATTTGAGTTTTCTTAAATATTCATCCCTTCTCAGTTCATTGTCTGCAAAGTAAGTTTTTATGACATTTTGTAAACTTTCGTTTGCAAGGTCATGTACAATAGGTTCTCTTCCTTCTCTCCCTAACTTTCTTTCTAAACTCTTCACCAAATATACCATCTCTATGGTTCTGTGTAGTTCTTTGAGATAAATGTTCTAGAACGTCAGGTGTTATATTTCCATCAGCCATGTTCATTTCATACTGGTCCAAAATATCTGCATGTTTCATATCTTTCAATGGCATTAAAGCCGCGCTGAAAATACCAGCTATATCTGGTTCACCATTGACTTCCATTGCGTCTACAACTTCTTGGAATTGTGGTTGTAAGTTTATGAACCACCTATCCGGGTTAGCTTTATGACCCCATCTCATTGTAGTTCCATCGTCTGCAGAAACAAAAGTAGGTTTGTTTCCATCTTGGTTAGGTTCTGAATGAACTTTAAACAATGTTTCATTTCTATATGTTTTCTTGAAATTTAACCTTTTATTTTCACCGAGTTCATCCGAAGATTGAACGTTAAATGCTCGTAAGTAAAAAGGGTTGTTGTATTTGTGTACATTTTCTTTCAGTCTTCCATTCTATGCTGAATATTTTCATCTGGTGTTGGAGTCTTTTGTATGTCGGCAAACATTTTTCGATATTCTTCTACTATGTCAGCCGAATTTTTTTTAGACTCTTGGAAATATTCCATATTCTCCGCATACTCTTGTTGAGGGTCAAGATTTTTCGGCTGTTCCAAATCTTCATCTAGTTCTGTGAAGTTAGTTTCCAAAGGAGTGACTTGTTCGTTTCCTTCAGGCTCTTCTAGCTGTTGTTGCTGAACTATTTCTTCCATGTCTGGTTGTATCTGAACTTCTTCCTGTGGAGTTTCTTGTACCTCATCTGCTGGCATTTCATATATTCCGAGACCGTTTTCAACAATTTCCCTATCTACGTCATCCGCATTCATAAGCTTTTGTTCTTTCGTTCCGTCTCTATTTTTTACGCGTTTCATGACGAAAGTTGAATTGTCATTTAGCTCTGACATCAAATATCTCGGAGTAAATTCATCCATGTCATTTGGATGATATGCTATTAAATCATATCCCTTAGCGAGCTTGTATTTTCCAGGTTTGAGATTATATCCGTTTTGGTGCTGAGCCATAAAGCTAAATAGGTTCGGGTCAGTATTTCCATCCTTGAACTTTCAATAGCTTCTTTATATCTGTCACTAAAGTCAACAGTATCTGGGAAACCACACTCTTCTTTAAGCATTTTTAAGAATTCTTGGTTTCCTTGTTCTCTACTTCTTTTATGTCCTTGCTCTGTTTGGTTGTTGCTGTGCAGGTTTTGAACTGTTGGTTGCTGTGCAGTGTTTTGAACTGTTGGTTGTGTGCAGTGTTTTGAACTGTTGTTGTGGTGCAGTGTTTTGAACTGTTGGTTGTTGTGCAGTGTTTTGAACTGTTGGTTGTTGGTTGGTTGTTGTGTTGGTTTTGGTGCATGCCTGTGTCTGTGTCCATGTGACGATGTAAATGTTTTAGGTAGTCCTGGTGCAGGTGCTTCTCTTGGAGGGTTTGGTGGTATATAAGTTCCACTAGCTAGTATATAAGTTCCACCAGCTGGTATATAAGTTCCACCAGCTGGCACATATGTTCCATCTGCAGCATAATGTCCTACCTGACTTTTCGTTTTTAAGAAAGCATTTACTAGGTCTGTTTTGGTCTGTTGTAACTCTTTTTCTTGACTTTTCACAACAGTTGCTCTAACGGCGTCATAGGCACTTTGAACTGCCTGTCTCGTTGCTGCATCTGTTATTTTCGTCATATTTTGTGCTACTTCTTTTAACTCTTTGTCGAAACCTTCAGACTTCAGTTTCTTTCCAGATGAGAAGTCGTTCACTTGTTTCACCTTACTATGAAGAGCTTCGAAGGCGTTCTTAAAGTCAGCATTTGTTAAAGCTTCATTTGAACTGTCTTCATCCGCTTGTATTTTTGTCCTTATTGACCCTATGAGTTGGGCTGCTTTAGCGTTGGCTTGGGCATCTAACCAGTCATTGTTAGCTTTTATATATTCTGCGCTTTTCATTGCCTTTTGCATGGCTGCGTCGTTATTTTTACTTTCTTGTGCTAAGTTTTCATACTGTACGGTTTGGTTCTGCAACTGTAAAAGTTTTTCTGCCTTTACATTTGCTTCAACTTCTTTTTTATACTCATCGCTATCCATATATGTCTTCAGGGCTTTTTGTTTTATTTCTTCATCTTTCAGTACTTTATATTGAGTAGTATGGTTTTTCAAATTTATGACATCTTGTTCCATTTTTGCTACTTCTGCTGCTTTTTCTGACACTTTTTTCGCATATTCCTCTGTACTTAGTTCTTTCAGTTGTTCTTCTTTCTTCTTTTTCTCTACGTTTAACTCATTGAGTTTCTTTGTGTGTCTGTCATATTCTAGTTTCTTTTCGTTTTCACTTATTTGCTTCTGTATGTCTATGTTTGACTTTTTGACATCTGTTATTTGATTTTTGAGTGAACTCAAATTCATTTGACTTTGAGGGTTATAGGCTGTTCCGTCTGCAGCTCCACCATAGCCTGCCATTTTCGCTAAAAGTGCCGCTCTTAAACCTCCACTCTGTGCACCAACAACTCGGTTTAAAAGCATAGGATTGCTTGACATTTGTTGCAACATAGTGGGGTCATTCAGCATTTGTTGTTGCAACTGTTGTTGTGGTGTCAGTTTTACTTTTGGATGTTTCAATGCTCCCTTCCTCTTACGTATATTCTTACGTAGCTTACGTGGCATTTTAAGTGAAGTTAAAAAGCGGTTTTTGACAGATGTATATATGACACTTTTTGTTCAGCACAAAAAACTACTCGGTCAAACTGTTGTCAGTTTTGTAAAATAACCGTCCTATCTCATTCTATAAGGGGAAAAGGCTTCTCAAAGTATACTTCCTTGGAACGCCCGTAACTTTTCCTGTAGCGACGATAGACCCTTACTTGTCCAGACAAAGCTGTACTATTTTGAGTGCTCTACAAAAAAGTCAACGGCGACGACTCTCAAAAACCGTTGTGTAAAAAGTTTTACCGTTAGACAAAAAAGTATATATAGAAAACAAAAAACGTTTATAGTTCATTCAATATTTGAGATAAACCGTTTTTCCAACGGTAACTATTAAATAAAATAAAAAAATAGTGGGGGTTACCGTTGACGAAAACGGTTTATTTTAAACTTTTCTATGAGTAGTCCGAAAAAACAGTTCATTTTTGTCTAATGGAAGACCACAGTAGTAGCATGACTGACAATTCTTTACAAAAGCTCTTTAAAGGTCAAACACTTATATCTTCATACTTTACTAGTATGTCCAAAGAGGTTACACAGGTTTCAGTCCAATCAGACTCCAATCAGACACAAATTGAAGCTCAAATTCAACCAAAAGAAACTGCCGAAGTCGAACAAACTACAGAAGCTCAAGTTGTTTCAGTCCAATCAGACTCCAATCAGACACAAATTGAAGCTCAAATTCAACCAAAAGAAACTGCCGAAGTCGAACAAACTACAGAAGCTCAAGTTGTTTCAGTCCAATCAGACTCCAATCAGACACAAATTGAAGCTCAAGTTCAACTAAAAACTTACACTCCTACAGAACCAGAAGGTGTCTTCTCATTCTCAACAACAGAAGCAAGATATAGAAGACTCATTGCAGATTATCCAAACAATTTGTCCTTAACAGACAACAATGACTATGATAGATATTTCAAAAGTATAATAAAACCAGTCGAAACATTAGAAAACAAAGTTCAAAACCCGACAGTAATGGTTGACTTTTTCTTGTCGAATTTGCCTTATGTTTCAACTATGATATCTCTTCAAGCAATTGACGAATTCATTCTTTGCTGTGAACCAAACTTAAGAGAACAGCTATATGAAACACTCAAAGACTTTCGCCCTTATCCTTTAACTTACAATTGGAAAGAAGATGAAAACAAACACGGTTCTTTCTCCTGGAATCTTTCCATTGTTGCTCCAGCTGGTGTAGCTGCACATCCATTCGAAATATATCCAAAATTGCATTACGAAAACAATATGCATATTATCACAACAGCCGCTTTAGATATTCCTGAACGGATACCAGATGGAGAAGAAGTTTCAATAATATCTGTTCAAGCAAACCGAGTTGCAATGCCAGTTACAGTATGCAATTTCACTCACTCAAGCAGACAATTCTATCAAAATCTTGAGTTCGTTTTTACTGGCACAGCCAAAATGCTTCTCAAAAAACCAGAACAAACCAAAATAACCATCTTCTTATCTGGTTATTGTGAAGATGAAGACAATTCGGACGAAGAAGAAGAGGAGGAAACAAGCGAAGACTCAGACGATATCCAGTTCATTTCCATCCGTAAAAAACTTTAAACAAACATTTCAGAATAAAAACCTCATTTTATACTAAACATCTTCGGGGCTAGAGGGCACGAAGTGCCTGGAAGCCCCACTCCCTTTTTTTTTTTTTTTTTTTTTTTTTTTTAAAGCTCTTGAAAAATCTTTAAATATAAGATGATTTTTGCTTATATTTTTTGATTTCTCGATAGCAATGCTAGGATATTACAATATTTCCATGTATTTTACTAGGTTGTAACTAGTTGGCATAAGAGTACATATATAGAATCGCTCCGACTATATATATATGTTTATTTAATATTACTGTTTATTTTACAGCTAAAGCTTAAACTTATAGTGTATTTATTTTTTAACTGTCTGAATAATGGCAGATTATTTTAATATTTAACATTGATATTGAAATATGAAATAATGCATTTTTCCTTTTTAGCTAGAACACTTGTTTGGGCAATATTTTTCTTTTTTAAACACCAAAATCACATATTTCTCTTATATATATCTATTTTTAAATTATTTTGTTGATATTTTGACAATTTGAGTTAAATATCGATTTAATTCTATTTTTATGGGTAAAATATATATGTATATATCATATTTCATTATTGGTTTGTTAATGCAATTCAATTCTTGGATTCTTGAGTTTTCATTTGAAAGTTCAACTACAAATAAACCTTTCACTGAATATAGGTACTAAAATTTCATTCTAGAATAGCCATTCTTATGGTTTTATCAATATAAAACAACAATATATTTTTTATATATTCTACTTGCTAATTACTTTTCTAGTTTCAAGATAAAGTTACTTAATCTCCGATAAGATGCATGAGATGTGAATTGGAGATATCGAGCATGCATATTTCCGAATATACTACTATATTATGTACTATTGTGGAAAGAAATTAAACTTTGTAAACTGAATGAATTTCATATAATGGTTGTCTGGCAGCTATGATTTCTCTTTTCGTATTTATTTTTCCCGAAAATCATTCAAGAATTAGGGGGCATTAACAACAATGATAAAAATGGCATTTTTCTTAATTTTTTTTGGAAAAAAATACATTTCATATTTATTTGTTCTTAATATTGTTGTAAACAGAAATTCATCAAAAGTGACACCTCAGAAAAGCTAAAATATTGAATTTTTGGAACTTTTGATAGAGCACGTTTTTAAATATTAATTAAAGTAAATGTATATTTTGTAAAGATTCTTTTTAATAAAAAAATAAAATTTTGAAGAAGAACACAAAATCTTCTGAAAAATAATATCACATAAACTCATATTATTTTCTAATATATAACTATTTTATATAAAAATCAAATTCAATGATCTTAAAAGCGAAGGATAAACCTCAAAATTTACGAATATAATGAGTGGGAATATAATGCTTATCTATCATAAAACCATATGAAATATCAATTTTTGCTTTACGCCTAATTTTTGACGACAATTAGCAAAAAATGTTAAATGTTAACACTCAGTCCATTTGAATATGAAAAATAAAATTGACTTTGATTAAATGTTTTTATTTATCATGCAATTCTTCTTGCGACCAAAGATTTGAATAAAAGTTCAAAAAATAAGATAGCTTAAAAAATAATATACGGTAGTGTTTACTAATAGATGAATAGTATATAAATTCTATTAAAATGGATTTGATCCAAAAAAATATAAAACCAAAAATAATTGTTATAATTTAAATGAAGAAGTAATTTAAAACGATTTTATTTATGATCAAATTTTATATATTTTTTTGGATCAAATCCATTTTAATAGAATTTATATACTATTCATCTATTAGTAAACACTACCGTATATTATTTCTTAAGCTATCTTATTTTTTGAAATTTTATTCAAATCTTTGGTCGCAAGAAGAATTGCATGATAAATAAAAACATTTAATCAAAGTCAATTTTATTTTTCATATTCAAATGGACTGAGTGTTAACATTTAACATTTTTTGCTAATTGTCGTCAAAAATTAGGCGCAAAGCAAAAATTGATATTTCATATGGTTTTATGATAGATAAGCATTATATTCCCACTCATTATATTCGTAAATTTTGAGGTTTATCCTCCGCTTTTAAGATCATTGAATTTGATTTTTATATAAAATAGTTATATATTAGAAAATAATATGAGTTTATGTGATATTATTTTTCAGAAGATTTCATTCTATATGCCTATGAAAAGTACTCTCAAAACTAACTTTTCCTAATTATAATTAAATCTAGAATATTGTATTATGCTTAGTATTATTTCATTTTTCTCATTCAATTTAGAATTTACAAATGTCAAAAAATTGAGAGCTGTCACTTTTGATGAATTTCTGTTTATTACAATATAAATTAATAATATTAATTTACCTTACAAATGAGTTATGTAAAGTATTCAAATTTTAACTACAATTTTTATGCAGTCGAGCAACAGCAGATGCGCTTTTGCTTGATTTTTATTATCACCAGTGCCGTCTATAGTAAATAGTTTATAAATAGAACAACTGCACTCTTAATTATCACCAAAATAAATCAAAGATTTTAAAAATTGATTGTAATTATAGTTAGATTAACCATCATCACTTGCAAACTGAACTAATTTACTACTTCTCCAATTAACACTCATGAACAATGTTTTTTTAAAAAAAATATAATTTTTTATTCTAAATTTTACATTAACATGTCATTTATTATGATCTCATAAAACATATCCATATATTATAGTTACAGTAATATTAAAATTTCAAATTTTGAATTAATTTGGTTATATTATGACCATTAAGCCAAGATCCCAACTTCCCAATGCTATCTATGAATTTCAACTCTATATGTAACTAACACGTTATAAGTTTTGTTTATAAATATAAGGTGCATTTCAGTAAATTACTCTTTTATAATAGTTCTTTTATTACAGCTATAAAATCTATACTAAATCTATATGTTTTTATACTAAATTTATTAATTGTAATACTAATTTTAATTGTTGCTGATCATATGCTAAATTTTATATGAAATCCTTAATTAGAAACTTGAGTTGAATATATATTATATGAAACAATCGGTGTTTAAAACAAAATACAGCTTGATTTATATAGTAATTTATGCTTTACATGTATTTTATATAAATTTTTATTGAATTCAAATATTCAATAGTTTTTTTATGCTAGATTAGTTGTATTTATTTAAATATATTATATTGGCAACCTTTCTTTACCCTGTCCTAATAAACGCGTTTTGTAAAAAAATATAGTGCATCAGTTTCGAACTAGCGTCCCCGGTACCCAATAGTAAGGGGTAATAACCATTCGACCATTTGCCACGTAAAGCATCGCCGGATTTTTTTGTATTTAATCACTCCCAAAACACTGTTTTGGCTTATTGGAAGCATATCAGACATAATCGCCATAATCAAAAAATCTATATACCCAATAAGTAATAAATTTGTCGATATAGATTTTCCATAAAATTAGTTTTTAGTCTGATCTTAAAATAAATTTAATTTTTTATAAAAAAAATCACATTTAAAAGTACCTTTTTAGTAGCTCGAAATCCTGTTGGTGGATTTGGGGCGTACTTCAAAATTAGCTTTTCTTCTACATATGCAAGCTATATTTTAAATATGGGGCAAATCGGATCGGCGAAAGGAGTTTAGTTACCTTTGATTGCAAAAAAAATTATGATTTAATGCGATAATTCTATGCTGTTTGTAATATACTATTCATGTATATTCAGTATGACTAATATTAATGCATCTTAATGGGGATAAAGAAATAATAGATAATTGATTTTCACATATGATATATTTATTGTTGCCAATATAAATATTTTTGTAAGTATTTTATATTGTTACTCTTATGATGCTTATTATAAAACTCAAGATAAAAAGATTTCAACAAATTTTCACATATGATATATTTATTGTTGCCAATATAAATATTTTTGTAAGTATCTTATACTGTTACTCTTATGATGCTTATTATAAAACTCAAGATAAAAAGATTTCAACAAATTTCATTATATCTCATTTTTATTAATGTGATTATTATTAGTAGTAGTAGTGTTTTATATTAGAACTCTTAAATACGATATTTGAATTTCAAGTGAAGTCACTTTGTTGAGGCGGCCTTTAAGTTAGCTGTTGTCAAGCAAGTTATTGGCCGCACAGGATCTCGTGGTGGTGTTACACAAGTTCGTGTCGAATTCCTCGATGACTCAAATCGCTCCCTTGTTCGCAATGTTAAGGGTGCCGTCCGCGAGGGCGATATCCTTTCACTTCTCGAAACAGAGCGTGAAGCACGCCGTCTTAGATAAATTCTTATAAAGAATACTTGCTAGAACTGATAAATATTATTACTCAAGCATAAATTTCTAATATCAAAAATAAAAATACATTAGGCTCGCACAGAAATTACTTACATGACATTCACATTACTATTTCTTTGATAGTCTTTCTTTTTTTTCCATCAATTTTTTTTTATTTTTGAGAAAAACGTTTTTTATATGTGTTAAATGTTTTCAATTAGTATTCCATCTAACTCATCTGGATAGAACACTGGGTGACATCTGAGTATTTTCGATATACGTTAATTATCTTGTTATTGATATAATTTGAAGCTAATTAGTTCAAAAGGCGCAGCTTAGAAAGCCATAACAGGCTAAAATAGATGCATCGATTCATTATAGCATGTGAAAATCCTTAGCAAATTATAAAATATTTGTGTTGCACATGTTTTTGATGATTTTTCCTTATGAAGATAATTTATGTATCATGGATATCAAAATTTTTATATTAGATTTTCTACAGGCCTATCGAGTAAAAAGGTTACTGCTGAACATGCAAACGAAGCGAAAATTTGATAAATGTCATTGAATATTTCATTGCTATTATATGTGTAAAATGATGAGTTCGAATTAAAAATAATCTTGACTAATAACAGAAATTTTACAGAGTCTTATGTATTAGATGAATCTTATTCATATTTTCTCATATAAGGGACAGACTCCAGATTAAACAAGTGGTTTAATTCCGAATTTTGTACACTGAAGATCTGTCCAACTCAACTTTATGTTATTTTATATGTGTTGATTAATAAAAAGTAAATGTTAACTATAACGTTAGATATTCTCACGACTTAATAATATAATCGATCGTTTTTGAAAAAATTCAAAGTAGAGAAATGAATAAAAACCAAAGCGGCTGTTGTATACTTCAAATATTATGTGTGCTAATTAATTCGGATTGTTGCGAATCATGAATACTATATATTTTATGTGGATTCGGCTGAAATCTCGATTTATATATATTAAAATTCCATTATCATGCATTCATTACATTATCTGATGCTAAGGAAGTTCTATGCACGCCCCTGACATATAGTTCATACAGAAGATTTGACAAAGATAAAAATACGACAATTAAACTCCTTATCTAAAGCAAAAAATGAAATGTTAGTTCAATAATATTCATTAAAGCAAGCTTAATGAACATAAAATTAATGTTGATCAGTTTATGAAATTGGAGTGAGAAAAAATCGATTGGTGAGAAAAAAAATTGAGAGGGTTGAAATTTTATGTATAAACATGAAATCAACACAAAACGAAACATCGTTAAACTAGGCATAAAATATAAAAAAATAAGATGATATGAACTTTTTCCGTTTTGATATATTTTTTTGAGAGATTTACAATTTTTATTAAATTAAGTCTTCAATTTTATTCAAAAATTAGAGTGAAATATATATCATAATAATAAGAAATCCAATTTCTAATTAAAGATACGTCAAAAGTAAATTGAGCGAAATGGCGGAGGAGAACGCCAATGTCGACGGATTAGGAAAGAAGGAAAAGCCAGAGAAAAACGCTTCTTCACTCAATGATAAAAACGCTGAAATAGAAGGAGAAAAAAAGAAACACAAGCATGATAAATCAGATAAATCAGACAAAAAAGACAAGCATAAACATAAACGCTCAGATAAAAGTGGCGATGACAGAAAGGAAGAAAAGGAGGAAAAGAAACATAAGCATAGGGACAAAAGTGAAAATGCAGAAAATACTGAATCTCCGGAAAAATCTTCAAAGAGCAAAAAGCACGATAAAAGCAAGGATAAATCTGATGACGGCAAAGAAAAGAGAAAGCATAAGCACGATAAAGACAAAGATGAAGAAGAAAAGAAGATAGATAGAAGATCTAGACATCATACAGTTAGAGAAAATCCAAAGATGGAAGCTCCAGTACTCGAAGAGAAAAAGAGAAAGAGAAGAAATTCAGGTGGCGAACCAATACCATTAATAGATGACGTCAAATCTGACAGGAAATCGAGAAAAGAAGAGAAGAAGAAGGATAAATCAGATAAAGAAGACAGAAAGAAAGAGAAAAAAGAGAAGAAATCAGATGCATCTGAGAAGGAAGAAAAGAAGAAAGAGCACAAGCATAGACATGATAAGGATAAGGATAGGTTTGATAAATCAGATAAGGAAGAGCGAAAGAAAGAAAAGAAGAAGAAGAAGGAAAGAAGCAAAGAGAAAGAAGAGAAGAAATCCGACTCAGTTAAAGAAAGGTCAGTTGAAATTGAAGTTCCTGTAGAAGAGCCACCTAAAGAAGTAGAGAAGCCGAAGAAGGAAGAAAAACCGAAGAAGGAAGAAAAGCCAAAGGAAGAAGAAAAGCCAAAGGCTGCAAGTGGAATTGCAGCTAAAATGGCCGCAATCCAAGCTGCTCAGCAGGCTGCAAACGAAAAACCAAAGCCAAAGGAAGAAGAAAAGCCAAAGGCTTCTGGTGGAATTGCAGCAAAGATGGCAGCTATTCAGGCAGCAAAACAAGCAGCGAACGAAAAAACACAGAAGCAAGAAGAAGAAAAGCCAAAGGCTGCAAGTGGAATTGCTGCTAAAATGGCCGCAATCCAGGCTGCTCAACAAGCAGCAAACGAAAAACCAAAGCCAAAGGAAGAAGAAAAACCAAAGGCTTCTGGTGGAATTGCAGCAAAGATGGCAGCTATTCAGGCAGCAAAACAAGCAGCAAACGAAAAGCAACAGAAGCATGAAGAGGAAAAGCCAAAGGAAGAAGAAGAGAAACCTAAGGAAGAAGAAAAGCCAAAGGCTTCTGGAGGCATTGCAGCTAAAATGGCAGCTATTCAGGCAGCACAACAAGCAGCGAACGAAAAACCAAAGCCAAAGGAAGAAGAAAAACCAAAGGCTTCTGGTGGAATCGCCGCAAAGATGGCTGCTATCCAGGCTGCTCAACAAGCTTCAGCGGAGAAGCCGAAGCAGGAAGAAGAGAAGCCCAAGCCAGCAGGAGGCGGAATTGCCGCTAAAATGGCAGCAATTCAAGCCGCCCAGCAAGCATCAAACGAAAAGCCTAAAGAAGAAGAGAAGCCCAAGCCAGCAGGAGGCGGAGGAATCGCTGCAAAGATGGCCGCAATCCAGGCTGCTCAACAGGCATCAAACGAGAAGTCAAAGGAAGAAGAGTCACCTAAACCAAAGACATCCAGCGGTGGAGGCATTGCAGCTAAAATGGCTGCTATTCAAGCCGCCCAGCAAGCTTCGAACGAAAAACCGAAAGAAGAAGAGAAGCCAAAGACATCTGGTGGCGGAGGAATCGCTGCAAAGATGGCCGCAATTGCTGCAGCACAGCAGGCATCAGCAGAGAAAGCACAGAAGACAGAAGAGCCTCCAAAGCCAGCTGGCGGAGGCGGACTCAAAGCTAAGATGGCTGCGATCGCCGCTGCACAACAAGCATCAGCAGAGAAAGTCCAGAAGACAGAGGAACCACCGAAGCCATCAGGCGGCGGCGGACTCAAGGCTAAAATGGCTGCTCTCAAGGGACTTCCTATGGGAATGCCTATGGGCATGCCAATGGGAATGCCTATGCCAAGGAAGGCGAAGACATCAGAGCAACAAGTCAAGAAGTACGAGTTCCACGTAGACGAAGAAGGCTACGTAGTTCCAGACCTTCCAGAAGTCAAATTCCCACCGAAGAAGAGATCTCCATCAGCGGAACCATCAACAGCATACAGAAAGAAGGAATTCAAGACACAAGAATACCACATCCCATTGAAAACAACACAACCAGCTCCTGCTCCTAAAGCACCAGCTAATGAAAAGAAAAACGAAGAAGAGGATTATTCATACTCTTATTCCTACTCTTACAGCGAGGAAGAAGAGGAACAAGAAATTGTTGCTGGATACGACGAAAGCGATGATAAAAAGAAGAAGAAACCAAGGCAGCGCAAGGAAGGAGATGTTCCTAAGAAAGGAGAAAAGGCTCAGAAGCCACATCACGGTCATAAGGTTGAAACACAGATTGTTGTTCCAAGAAAGGTCTTCAAGGCCCCAAGGTTCATTTCTACTTCTCCAACAGCCGCATACAGAATCAAGTTCGTTGAGAGGAAGGAAGAAACAGAGGAACAAAGAAAGGCAAGAATTCTCGCTAAGCTAGGCTTAGGAGGAGCTCCTTCAGCACCTGGAATGCCTGCACATGCTGCTGCTCCGCAGGCTGAGAAAGAAGAGGAAGTCGTCGCTGCTCCTGATACAGCAGTAAGAAGAGTCGCAAGAGGTCGCGGCGGAAGACGTGCACCTTCAAGACAGAGAAGGGCTGCTGAAGATGAGTCGGATTAAAAAAGTTCTTTTTTTTTTATTTCTTTAGTAAAGAAAAAATATATGATACAAATAAAAATTTTCATATAAAATATTAATATCCAATAATTGTTAATGGTTTGTTTCAAAATATTGAAATTTATTTGAGTCCTTTTCAGGTGGTCTTTGTTCAGCTAATATAATTCTAATGAACTTTAATTACAAATATTGTGTATGTCAATACAAGAAATTCAAAATAAAGCAATTAATTTAAAGAATAAACTTAAAGAAAATTCGTTGATACTACGGTTTATTATATGTTTCTCAATATTTAGATAGAATCGATGTTATGTTCGTTTGGAGATCTAATCAAGTTTAATTTTTTAATGAAGAATAAAAGTGTATTAGATAGCTGTTTGATCTCTGTTGCACAATGAGGCAATATTTGATTTGTAGTGAACTGTTCTTGTAAATCACAAGTTAAATCTTACTAGAATTTGATGATATTTTCTGATTGGCGTTTTTTATGGGTAAACAAGGATAAAATCATATTTGATTATATGTTGTATGAATTTTTATCATTAGAAGTGTTGGAGAATCGATTAAAGTACTCACAAAATCTAGATTGAGAGGCGGTCAATGACTTTTGAGGGGAAATTAACGCATGGAATTTAATATTATTTAGGTTGATATTCTTGCTTATTATTTCAGAAAAAATCTTAAAAATTTCAATATGAAAATTGAAAGCAATTCAAAAAAATTGCTAACATGTAAATTGTAATATCCTATGCATAATTTCATATTTTGAACATTTTTTATTTTTGTTTAAAACTTAAAATTTTGCGAATTTAATATAATTTATAAAATATAATACGTATATATATTTAAAATACACTAAATTTAATTGTTAATTGACGTTTTTGGGAATGAATTTTATCAAAACATGCCTGAATCCGAAAATTTGAAAGAACGAATTACACAATCATATATGTAGAATTCAAAATACAAACTTAAAGATTGTATACGTTTAAAATTATTCAGATTGTGTTTGATTTCCACTCATTCTGTTTCTTTTGAACTCTAACACTAACATTTCATGATGATTACATGATCTATTTATACATGGTTGAATTGTTTCAGATTCTACAAGAAAATCAATCCAAATTTCTCAATGCATTCATGTTGATTGGACAAAATTTAAAATTTATCAGCCTGTTTCCAGAGAAACTCATATATTCCCTAATGAAATGTAATTTTTGCTACATTTATTTCAATCAAATTTCAAAAAATTGACTGCAGAGCTTGAAAAGGTGATGAATCATTTTGTTATTAGATGTACATATTAGATTTACTATTTCCAAAAAAATGCTCAAATTTGAATAGTTTTTAGAAAATTTGGAATTACACTCCTTACATTATATATAATTAAATGTTTAAAATTAAAAATAAATATATTTATTTATTTATTTATTTTTCCCTTTTAATTTTATAACGTGCTCTATCAAAACTAACCTCTCAATTGAAGGCCACAAAATCTAAGTAGTGAGGGTACACAAATTTTGTATGGAGTACGGTTCAATTTTTGAGAGTCTCACTACTTAGATTTTGTGACTACCTTAGATAAAACAAAATTTTTAATAGTAAAAAAATTGCAATCTTTAAGCATTAATAGATTAATAATGGGAACCGTGTGGAGTGATTATTGGTTCGATCGCAGTCGTAGGAATTCAACTGCCAAAATTCAGAAGTCTGAAATTATAATCAAAGTTAACTAGAATTTTAAAGTATATATATTATTGTCATGTTCTATTAGTGAGGATAATATTATTGAATTGTGATGTCAAGGAGAATTTGTAAAGAATCTGAATGAATAACGATTAATTTATTGTTATATAGAAAGTATAAAACAATACCCATACTAGTGAGATAAGCATTACCAGAGTTTTGTAATTTTAGTAATTATTGATTTGAGAAAAGAGTTTACTAAAAGAAAAAAGATTGAATGGATATCTGTTTTACAAACTTTAAGGTATTTAGATTATATGAACCGTGTAATTAAAATTCGTGAAAATAGTATTTGAAAAGAGTATTGAATTATAATATATTTTTCATAGGACTTTAAAATATATGTATTTTTAGTAGTTTAATACAAAGTTAATTTTTAACCTAAAAAAATATAATGTATTCAATCCTTTGAAATTGTTACAGTCATTGAATTGAAAATGAAAAATATAGAGAGATATTTGTTAATAATTTCCTTTAATAGTAAAAGGAATTATGTTTTTAGGAGTACTAACAAAAATTTTGATAAAATATTATCTTAAGTATATAAATGTATTGGTTAAAATATCATGATGACTTGAATTCAGAAAATTTTGAATAACTTAATTTTCATCGGTATTCAAATTTTTCAAAGCTTATATTAAAGTTAAAATTTATCAAAAGGGTATATTGATGATCAATAAAATTGATCATTACAAATTGATATATTATCAAAATTTCTCTCAATTTTTTATCAGAATGAATTTTATGATACAATTGATTATATCAGATAAACCTGTAAGATTAAGAAAAAACAACTCGATCTCAAATTTTGATCATATCCACAAAATATTCAATATCATTCAAATATTTCTATTCAAACATCCTAATTATTTTCTTCAGATTGTTTTACAAATATAATTTTGAATAATATTCAAAAAAACTAAACTTATTTTTTGACGATTGCCAAGTGGATTAAAATTTAGAAATATCTTATTATCAAGCTCCTCCCCCAATTTCATTTCCAAATACCAAATAAAATTACCATTAATAACAATTCTTACGCTCCTTCTTTCAAAAAAAATTTTATTTAATATTATACTTGAGCGTCATTATCTCTTTAATTTCTTTCAATTTTTCACTAATTAATATTTTTTTCTGATATATTTCAAAAATTGAAAGAATAACCCTTCATAATTTTATCAATCAAAAATGGAGTCTTGCGTTACCGACAACTACGATCCTAAATTTAAGATTGGCGATGGCGGCTTTTCCCAAGTCTTCTTTGCACTGCATCGAAAGACTTGTGCGCGCGTAGCAATCAAAATGATTTCCAAAAGAGACCATAATGAAGATGGTAAACAATTGGATAGAATTAATCGCGAAATCAGCATATTGAAGAGTGTGAAACATCCTTTCATTTCTGAACTCTTTGATGTCATAGAGACTAGCGAAAATACTTATTTGATAATGGAATACATCCAAAACGGTACACTGCTCAACAGCATCAATGAAAACGGCCCTTACAATGAAGAAGAAGCAGCCACAATATTTGCCCAATTAAACCTTGTCCTCCAATATTTACAAACAAATTGCAAGGTTGCACACAGAGATATTAAGGCAGAAAATATAATGTTTGATGCTCATCATAACATTAGATTAATCGATTTTGGTCTTAGTATACAAGAGAAGTCAATCATGAACACACAATGCGGCTCTCCATCATACGCATCTCCAGAGATGATACTTGGCAAGCCTTATGGCTACGCTTCTGATATATGGAGCTGTGGTGTTTTACTCTTCATTATGGTTGTCGGTCATTTACCTTTTGAAGATGTGAATATTACGCGTCTTGCACAGAAGATCCTCTATCAGGAAGTTGAATATCCAACAAATCTGTCTGATGATTTGATTGATCTCCTTAAGAAAATGTTAACGAAGGATCCTGAAGAGAGAATCACCTTAGAAGGTGTTATAAATCATAAATGGGTCCATGATAAGGTATTGTATGTTCAAGATAAGATTAAGAATTTTCAATATGACGATAAGTACATCTTCGACAAAATGTTGAACATCAAGTCGACAGATGTTTATGAGTATATCGGACATGGATTAGTAAATCAGAGTACAATCTCTTATTGCATTGCTCGCCGTGAATATATGTCAAATACAATTGAAACAATGAGCAAAGAAGAGAAGAAAAGACTTATGCATAAGCAAAATGCTTATAAAGATATTGTTGCTCTTCCGAGACTCTTAGTTCCGGAAAAGGCAAAATCTGGCGCAAAAAGAAAATCTCTCCCCAACGGAACGCCGAATATCAATGTTAATACTGTTTTCATTAGAAGGAAAATGCCCAGTGTTCTTGTGCGGAATATTTGAATTGTTGTTTTAATTTTTTTGTTTGTTTTTTTAAATAAAGTAAGTATTTACTTATATAATCATTTTTATTTAGCTTCCTTGAATTGGTATCCTTGAATAATCAAGTCTAGACTTAAAACAATATATGATTTTGGAACAGAATTCAAAATCATGATATATTTTTAAGGAGGAATGATGACATTACATTTCAACAGATTATTTATAACAGTTAGGATTCTTCTAATCCTCCGAAAAGAATGAAATTTTCCGAAAAAAAAATTCTTTCAATTCAATTTCTGAAAAAAAGAAAAATTAAGTGCTTCTGGTGGGATTCGGACCCACGACCTTCCGCTTACTAGGCGAACGCTATAACCACTAGGCTACAGAAGCAGTACACTTAATGTGTGATAAGTATATTTTAGATGGTTTATCATGAGGTTTTTCTAATCAAACGCTCTTACACTATTATTAATGTCACTAAAATTTTAGCTCTTTATTCGAAAGATATTCTAATCTACATTCTAAAATATCCATTCACTTCAAAATTTAAAAAAAATAATTTCTTCTATAAATTACTTTTCCTTATCTCTCTTAAAATGCTCTTAAACACTTCAAAGCATATAAGTCCATAATGTAGAATTTATTCAAATTCAAAAAATTAAAAATCATAAATCGTCAAGCATAAAGGCCCAGCTCCCGACTTGATCGTTGGGTTCATCTCGTGGAGACTCCTCGGCAGAGTCGCTTTTTGTTGGCGTAGAATCAGGGGACGAGTAGGGAGATGAATCAGAAGACTTCGTTGGAGAAGAGCTTGATGAACTTGACGAAGGGTCTTGCCAATATTGTAGATACATAGGATACAACTCACCTTTGTACCTGGTGTTGTTTAATTCGCGAATTGCTTTTTCTGCAGCTTCAACGGTCTCATACCTTATAATGAATCCTCTTGGCTTGCCTTTTTGGCCTTTGATCTTTACTTTTTCGATGTTCCCAAACTTCGAAAAAAGCCTGCGAACTTTGTAAATTGGAGTTGTCACTTTTATACCTCGTATAAAAATGGAATTGGATTTGTCACCAAAGGATTCGGTCGAATCTGTTTCTTTACAGATCAATGTATGGTTCTCGATCTTGTACCCATTAAGTGCATTAGCTGCTGCGCGAGCCCCAGCCAATGGTCTTATTCTGACGAAGCCGTAGCCCTTTGCTTCTGAAGTTTTGAGATTTATCATGATTTTTGCTGAAAGTACTTCGCCGAATGGCTTCGCTAGAGCTTCTAGATCCTTCTTGTGGAAGCTCTTAGGCAGTCCTGATATGTATAAGTTCAGGCTATCACCTATATTCTCCTTTCCTTCTTCCATTAAAATTCATTCATTTTATTTTCTGAGAAAAATGAGAACTTCGAAAAACACATCATACGTAAAAGTGACACCTTAAATCTTGTGATTTTGCGAGTTTAATATACTCATTATAAGAAGGAACATATGAGAGATATATTTGTCACAGAATTCTTCCAATTTGATGAATAAAAACCGACTCATAAGAAATTTAAAAAACGATTAACAAAAAAATTCATGAAAACACTATGGTGATTTTTAAAATTGTATAAAACAAGTTGGTGAATAAGATTTTCATATAATAACAACAATAATAATATAATAAAAACAAATTATTGATTGCATATTAATTAATCGAAGAATGAGTATCGTATATTTGTTACAAAGTTGATTTTGTAAAATCTATGCCGCTTAGCAGCTCAAGTTCCTTTTTATATTTGTTCAAAACTGGATCATAGAATACTTCGTAGTATGTAGTAAGGAAAAGGTTTTTGATTGAAGGCCGGTTTTCACAATACCAGCAAATTAAGAATTCTAAAGATCTTTTTGCATCTCTATCAATCCGAAGCGAAGGAACTTTTTCTGAAATTCGTGTTGCGAGTTTAAGTAACTCTGGTCTCTTTTCGATCGGAGGAAATTTTTTAATGATGTCTTGGAAAGATTGATATAGTTCTCGAACATTTCTTCTTCTATAAGCAATAGCTTCTCGATGAGCTTCTATATTGCTTGAAGATGTCCGTTTTGGTGAAACACGATGAATTATAAACACCTGGTGGGTGTCTAACATGTGAAATTTGATTTGGCAAAAAATTCCGGTTCATTTTTTTCTGATTTTCTATTTCATCTCTGTTATCAATATTTTCATTCCAAAAAGACCCAAAATTTTAAGTGACATTGTTTGACTTCATTGAAATATCCTTCTCTACTCATTGTGAATTGAAATGACATTAAATTTCATTAAAATGATATTAATATGGAGTTGAATTCAATATGAAAGATTGTGGAAAACGATATTTGACAGAAAAGCGGTTTGTCCTGTTATAGACCGAAAATAGATTTTTTCGGTTTTCTCTTCAAATAATTGAAAGAATGATACTATTATAGGTTTATTATATTATATAGCATATACTCATGCTATAGCCGAAAATTATAAGTTTTGAGAAGATTGAATATAACACAAATAAATTTGAATGTAAGTTAAATTGCTTGTTGTTTTTAATAGCTATTTAATGAGAAATCCAATATTGCAAAATTCAAATTGAATGATGGAAAGAACAGAAAAAGTCATTCTTTTCAATTTCGAATATGTTTCATTGTATTTATAATTATATGGCAAATAAGATATTTAAACTTGATTTTTGAAGGAAAATTCACAAAATTGAATAAATTCAAATAATTTTTATTCAAAAATAAACTAGTTATTTGAGTTTAATACTAATTATCTATTCAGACTACAAAGTTTGTAATTTAAAATATTTTGTGAGATCAGATTGAATTAATTCAAGGTTCTTTTCAATTAATATTAATGACCATATTACGCATTTTCGAACATTCTAAACCAAATATATAAAAATGGGAGACGAATGTTAAATTTTCTAGACATAAAGAAGTTGTTTACCGAGTTTTAGCTCTTATCTCTAACAAAAAATTAATTTTTAAAAAAATGACCGAATACGTTTCACAGCGAGAAAAAAATAAAAGGCAAGATAGAATTTTCTAGACATAAAGAAGTTGTTTACCGAGTTTTAGCTCTTATCTCTAACAAAAAATTAATTTTTTAAAAAATGACCGAATACGTTTCACAGCGAGAAAAAAATAAAAGGCAAGATAGAATTTTTAGACATAAAGAAGTTGTTTACCGAGTTTTAGCTCTTATCTCTAACAAAAAATTAATTTTTAAAAAAATGACCGAATACGTTTCACAGCGAGAAAAAATAAAAGGCAAGATAGAATTTTCTAGACATAAAGAAGTTGTTTACCGAGTTTTAGCTCTTATCTCTAACAAAAAATTAATTTTTAAAAAAATGACCGAATACGTTTCACAGCGAGAAAAAAATAAAAGGCAAGATAGAATTTTCTAGACATAAAGAAGTTGTTTACCGAGTTTTAGCTCTTATCTCTAACAAAAAATTAATTTTTAAAAAAAATGACCGAATACGTTTCACAGCGAGAAAAAAATAAAAGGCAAGATAGAATTTTCTAGACATAAAGAAGTTGTTTACCGAGTTTTAGCTCTTATCTCTAACAAAAAATTAATTTTTAAAAAAATGACCGAATACGTTTCACAGCGAGAAAAAAATAAAAGGCAAGATAGAATTTTCTAGACATAAAGAAGTTGTTTACCGAGTTTTAGCTCTTATCTCTAACAAAAAAATTAATTTTTAAAAAAATGACCGAATACGTTTCACAGCGAGAAAAAAAATAAAGGCAAGATAGAATTTTCTAGACATAAAGAAGTTGTTTACCGAGTTTTAGCTCTTATCTCTAACAAAAAATTAATTTTAAAAAAATGACCGAATACGTTTCACAGCGAGAAAAAAATAAAAGGCAAGAATTTTCTAGACATAAAGAAGTTGTTTACCGAGTTTTAGCTCTTATCTCTAACAAAAAATTAATTTTTAAAAAAATGACCGAATACGTTTCACAGCGAGAAAAAAATAAAAGGCAAGATAGAATTTTCTAGACATAAAGAAGTTGTTTACCGAGTTTTAGCTCTTATCTCTAACAAAAAATTAATTTTTAAAAAAAATGACCGAATACGTTTCACAGCGAGAAAAAAATAAAACTGTACACTGATTTTCATTTTCATTTCCAGTCACTTTACTTATTATTTTTTTCTTTTTTTTCATTTTAATTATAAATTATTCATAATACGTTTATTTACGTTACCATTTTCTTTATTCTTTTGAATTCCATACTAGACACTTATAGAATATTTTGATTGTTAACGTACTTCATTAGAATGAATCCTTACAAAGGGTATGTCGATCGAATTTACCTAATTGGTATTTCCAATCAGATTGAAGAAGGTAAAATGACATGGGAAGAAGCTTGCACCCATGTTCTCATCGCCCCAACCCTTCAATCAAATGATTTCAAATATTTAGATGTTTCAAAATCTTTTTTACAAAATCAATTTAGCTTACAGAATATCCCATTGCCTAAAGGCAAGAAAGGTCGTAGGGTCAATCCCTACGACCAAATCAAAGCTCTTGCTGTGATACATGACCACTGGGCCTTTCCCTGTGGTCAAACAAAACAATGGAAACGTTTGAAATTACAACAAATTGATGTATCTTATAGAGAAGTACGCAGATACTTCAAAGAAAATCATTTCACCAAGACGCGATTAGAGCATGCCGGGCCAGAAACAGCAGTAAGATATTGGGCGCTTTCACCCAATCTTATCTGGCACGCAGATGTTCATTATTTTAGGGGTGTTCGTGGCCAGTATATTTATGGCATAATCGACGATTTTAGCCGCAAAGTCCTAGCGTGTATACAAATACCAGATATGCTGGCAGCGACGACAGCGAACGTTGCGGCTTCCGCCTTCATTGAATTTGGCGCCCCTTATTGTTTCTGGACCGACAACGGTTCAGAAAATAGGGGCGCCTTTCAAGATCTACTTGATCTTTGGGCGTCCAATGGCGGCATACAGACTCTCATTCTCCCTACCAAAATGGGAAGATTGAGAGATTCTGGCCGACATTGGAGCGCTGCCAAAGCATTCAGGCTATTCCTGCCTTTATTTGGGAGTACAATAATAACACACCGCATGAAGATCTCCCAATTAATCCATTAACTGGAACAAATTACACGCCAAATCAAATGTATCAGCTGAAACCGAAATACACAAATGCAGATACAGAAAGGTTGTGGCAAATATGGGATACAGATACAGGCATGACCGCTGTTGACACATTCACAGCGTAATAATAAACATAATTTTTTAATTTCATTTTTAACAAGTTTTTTTAAATGTATGTAATGAATAATTCATTAGAATATGATAATGCACATTGTAACAGAATAGAACAATCACCAAATTTTTTTTGAAATTAAAAAATAAAAGTAAAAAGTATAAAGTAATCTAACCAAAAAGATATTTAAAAGAATTTTGGAAAAAACAGAATAAGGATAATGATATTATTTTAGATACACAATCGATGTACTGAAGAATAATCAGGTAAAATGATGATATAAAATTAGATTATTTTACAAGTAGCTAAAAGAATAAAACTATAATATAAAATAAATGAAGTTTAATGAAAGAATAAAGGGTAAATAAATAATAAATATTTTTATTTTACATCAGTATTGAGAAGAAGTAACAGCTGACACTTGGTAGACAACTTCTTTATGTCTAGAAAATTCTATCTTGCCTTTTATTTTTTTCTCGCTGTGAAACGTATTCGGTCATTTTTTTAAAAATTAATTTTTTGTTAGAGATAAGAGCTAAAACTCGGTAAACAACTTCTTTATGTCTAGAAAATTCTATCTTGCCTTTTATTTTTTTCTCGATGTGAAACGTATTCGGTCATTTTTTTAAAAATTAATTTTTTGTTAGAGATAAGAGCTAAAACTCGGTAAACAACTTCTTTATGTCTAGAAAATTCTATCTTGCCTTTTATTTTTTTCTCGCTGTGAAACGTATTCGGTCATTTTTTTAAAAATTAATTTTTTGTTAGAGATAAGAGCTAAAACTCGGTAAACAACTTCTTTATGTCTAGAAAATTCTATCTTGCCTTTTATTTTTTTCTCGCTGTGAAACGTATTCGGTCATTTTTTTAAAAATTAATTTTTTGTTAGAGATAAGAGCTAAAACTCGGTAAACAACTTCTTTATGTCTAGAAAATTCTATCTTGCCTTTTATTTTTTTTCTCGCTGTGAAACGTATTCGGTCATTTTTTTAAAAATTAATTTTTTGTTAGAGATAAGAGCTAAAACTCGGTAAACAACTTCTTTATGTCTAGAAAATTCTATCTTGCCTTTTATTTTTTTCTCGCTGTGAAACGTATTCGGTCATTTTTTTAAAAATTAATTTTTTGTTAGAGATAAGAGCTAAAACTCGGTAAACAACTTCTTTATGTCTAGAAAATTCTATCTTGCCTTTTATTTTTTTCTCGCTGTGAAACGTATTCGGTCATTTTTTTAAAAATTAATTTTTTGTTAGAGATAAGAGCTAAAACTCGGTAAACAACTTCTTTATGTCTAGAAAATTCTATCTTGCCTTTTATTTTTTTCTCGCTGTGAAACGTATTCGGTCATTTTTTTAAAAATTAATTTTTTGTTAGAGATAAGAGCTAAAACTCGGTAAACAACTTCTTTATGTCTAGAAAATTCTATCTTGCCTTTTATTTTTTTCTCGCTGTGAAACGTATTCGGTCATTTTTTTAAAAATTAATTTTTTGTTAGAGATAAGAGCTAAAACTCGGTAAACAACTTCTTTATGTCTAGAAAATTCTATCTTGCCTTTTATTTTTTTCTCGCTGTGAAACGTATTCGGTCATTTTTTTAAAAATTAATTTTTTGTTAGAGATAAGAGCTAAAACTCGGTAAACAACTTCTTTATGTCTAGAAAATTCTATCTTGCCTTTTATTTTTTTCTCGCTGTGAAACGTATTCGGTCATTTTTTTAAAAATTAATTTTTTGTTAGAGATAAGAGCTAAAACTCGGTAAACAACTTCTTTATGTCTAGAAAATTCTATCTTGCCTTTTATTTTTTTCTCGCTGTGAAACGTATTCGGTCATTTTTTTAAAAATTAATTTTTTGTTAGAGATAAGAGCTAAAACTCGGTAAACAACTTCTTTATGTCTAGAAAATTTAACATTCGTCTCCCATTTTTATATATTTGGTTTAGAATGTTCGAAAATGCGTAATATGGTCATTAATATTAATTGAAAAGAACCTTGAATTAATTCAATCTGATCTCACAAAATATTTTAAATTACAAACTTTGTAGTCTGAATAGATAATTAGTATTAAACTCAAATAACTAGTTTATTTTTGAATAAAAATTATTTGAATTTATTCAATTTTGTGAATTTTCCTTCAAAAATCAAGTTTAAATATCTTATTTGCCATATAATTATAAATACAATGAAACATATTCGAAATTGAAAAGAATGACTTTTTCTGTTCTTTCCATCATTCAATTTGAATTTTGCAATATTGGATTTCTCATTAAATAGCTATTAAAAACAACAAGCAATTTAACTTACATTCAAATTTATTTGTGTTATATTCAATCTTCTCAAAACTTATAATTTTCGGCTATAGCATGAGTATATGCTATATAATATAATAAACCTATAATAGTATCATTCTTTCAATTATTTGAAGAGAAAACCGAAAAAATCTATTTTCGGTCTATAACAAAAAGCGGTTTGTCCTTGCTCAGCAAAATCTTATTGAACCTTAAATAAGGAAGTCAGTTGATTGAATAATCATGATGTATATATTATCAAAAAGCGTAAACATCGACTCGGACAACATGAAATGTGGTAATTTTATTATTTTGTAAAAATTAATGCATAAAAGGTTCACTTTATTTTTTATATCATGGGTAGCGATTTCAGCGCCATATATATATTGATTTTTAACAGTTTTTATTTTTTCAATCAATCAGTTTAAAGACTCTTTTTATTAATTCTATAATACTTCGAGAAACTACATGATGAAGAACCATTTCTTCATATGTAATATGACGAATGATAATTGTGTCATGAGATACTATTCCAAGTAGCTGCTCAAAAAAGAGAAGTTTTTCCAAAATTATTTTTCTACTCTTACAGCATGATTAGCCAGAAATTAACTAGCATCTGATATCCAAAACAATTAATAATGAGGCAAGATATTGAGCTTTTGTTCGGAATATTAAAATGTCCTGAGTGTTTCAAGTTAATATAAATGTCAATGTTTTGGGATGCAATTGGATTTAAAAAGCGTTTATTTGATACTTCTGGATATTAGTAATTGCTTGGTTTCTAGTTCAATGTTTGAATTCAATATTTGATATGGTTTTCAAATGTATTATTATTTGAAACTCTCAAATTGGGCACTTATTGTATTCTGGAAACTTTTCTGTTCTTTGAGATATTCCGATATTAAGATAAAAATGCTTGTATTATAGGTTTTTGTTTTTATCAAAAACAAGAAACTTATAGTTCATTATTATGAGTTTAGTGACAGATTATACATGAAGTAGTAGTCAGCATGGTCAAGAATGATTATCGCATGTAAAGTGTAATAAGATTGATCAGAATTTCGCTTGAATATGTTTTGAACTGACCAAAGATCATTCTTTTCCATGACCTATCCATGGCAGTAATTGCATTGTAAAGGTTTGGGTAAATCTGAATGACGATTAGTGTTCTCGATTTTTTGTATATCCTTTCAAAAAAAAATTTCTAACGAAAAATAAAGTTTTATTTATGAGCGAAATCCCTACTGTAAATCAGCAAACAATAGAGTGGGGATTTCATCAACAGCCTAGAATACATATTGGCATGCAAACAGTTTACTCGTGCTTTCATATCTCTCAAGATAACTATATCGCGATTACGAATAAATCTGTTGTATTATTTCAACCAGGCAGAATACGTGAAACTCTCAACTTATCGCTCTCTAGTGCAGTATATATACCAGATCAAGAGATAATTATAGGTATGAGCGCTGGAAGAAGTCAATTTTACGTTTTACATCCAAACGAACTACAATCAATTCTTGCTGAATCAATTGCAACAGGACAAATAGGAGTCTTCAAGATGTATTATGCACAGAAATCGCATGTTTTGATATCAATTGGTGAAGATATTCGATTTTGGAACTTTTCTGTCGAAGTAAGTACTAATAAACTTGTTTCAGCAACTGCAAAATGTGAGTTTACACTTCGTGCTAAGCTTAATTACAATTTCAAAGGAAATTTCCTAAGTGCGCCAACATTTTCTCCGGAAGAAGAGCTTTTAGCACTTCAAAAAGAATCTGGATTTGTTGGTTACAATGTTGATGGTGAGCAAGTACGATTTTTCGCAAAAACTATCTCACCTGCAAGAATTTGTACAGATTATTTCCCAGAACAAGGCCATTTCATGACAGCTGACTGCATCAATGGTTTATGCTTATGGAACAGATTCTCTGCTCCTATAGGAAAAGTTCTAATTGGTGATTCGTCCGTTTGCTATTGTTCATTTTTAGATGATGAGTATGTCTTACTAATAACTGAGAGATTAGATGTCTATATAGTTGATATTATCATTAATACTGTTTATTTTTGCATGAATATTGAAGAAAAACCATCATCAATTTTATTACACAAAAATACTTTATTTTTTGATATTTTCTGTAGTATGCATAATGGAATAGATCATTACATAATAGATTTACCATTCAGATCATGGCTAAAGGGCGTAGTTGATTGTACAGCGATGAGATTAGTTCCGAAAATCGGAAAAGCGCCAAGATTAATTGTTGAAACAAAAAACGCTTATATAACATTTATCACGCCTAAAGGGCCTTACAAATTAACAACTTCTTCGTCTCCTGAGGCTTTATCAATAAATCAATGTTATTATGATCGCGGAATTCTTGGAGATCCTACAGATGATACAGATAACATGCTTGTTGCTGAAGGCACTGGAGTTCTTGATAATTTTGAGACAAATTCGATTCCATGTAAAGGAATTGCATCTTTGAAGGGCCAATACATAGCAATATGGTTCTTTAATGCATCAGAAGGACCAACATATGTTGCTGCTTCAAGATTTGGCGATATTATGTACATTGATCGGAAAAATTTCAAAATTACAAAAAGAGTTTTGATAAATGCTGATAGAGTTGAATATGCAATCGGTGAAAATGTATATAATACGTTTATTATCTTCTCAAAGACACAAATTTTCCGATTCGATGTAGATACGGCTACTGTCATCGATACAATTGACATGAAGATGCCAAGTAAGGTAGAAATTAATGGTGATATAATGTGTATGGGTTATCCCGATGGATTTTTAACTGTTTTCCAAATTTTTCAATCTGGACTTAAAAAGAAATCAAGAGATGACGCACAGCATCACAAAGACCAAATTACGGGTATTTCGATCCGTGATAATATAATTGCTTCAGTTTCTGACGATTGTCATCTTATGATTTGGAATTACAGGCTTGACATGCTTTGTTCTATACTTCTTCCTGTTCCTTTAGCTGGTGTAGTGATAGTCAATGGATATCGTGACGTTATTGTTGGAACTGGAACGAATTTGATGATTATTCATGGAAATTATCTCTTTGATGGCCCTCCAGTACCAGAAGATACTGTCTTTGATAGTTACTGCAGACTTGATGATGCTTTGTATGAGAAATACATTAAAAAGAATATAGAAATCGAAGAAATTCCAGTTGTCATGCAAGAAACGAGATCTCCAAGAAGAGTAAGGAAGCTAAAGATCAATACATTAAGTTCTATGCACAGTGAACCAGAAGAAACCGCAAAAGAAGTCAAAAAATCTGATCAAAAAGAAGATGTAGAGATGACTGATGAAGAAAAAGCGATGATGTTGGCTGAGATGTCCAATTTAACCGAAAATCTCGATAATCCTCAGCAAAAACCTCCAATTAATAACCAAATTTCCAATAATCAAACAGTAACTCATCAACCAACAGAAGAAGAGGACAAAAACGAAGAAGACCAAACAGATGATGCCCAAAACAATGCTCAAACACCCCAAAAAGTCCACAAAAAGAAGAAAATCATCAAGAAAAAGAGACACAGACAAAGTTCTGAGATGGAAACAGCGGAAGAAACTCCAGAAGTTCATGTATTGGGACAGAGAAAAAGCACAAGAAGACAAATCTCTAAAACAGCAAGTGGAACAGAGATAAATATCGATGGTTTGTCTTCAAGACCAGAAATTAAAAGAAAAACTCAAAAAGTGACACAAAGAATTCGACATCCATCTTCTGTTAGCGAAGATACGCTTTCTGAGACTATGTCTGAGACAGAGGATTCGGTCGCAAGCAATTCTATACTTGGAACAATCGAAGAAGAAAAAGAAAATTACTTTTGGAAAGAAGGTGAAGTGAAAAATAATTCAAACACAAAAAGTGACAAAAATGAAGTGAATTCTGAATCCGAAATCAGTCAGAACAACGATTCCAATACTACACAAACCAAAAGTAGAAGAAAATCTAAGAAATCTCCAACAAAATCGAGTAAATCTAGTAAATCAAAGAAAAATCAAAAAATTAAAAAAGAAAAGAAGAAAAAAGTGACGAAAAAAGTGAAGAAAATCAATAAAGATGGTGTAGAAGTTGAAGAAGAAGAGGAAGTCTCTGAATATATATACTATTCTGATGAAGAATCCGAAAATAACAAAATTGATCGAAATTCAGTTGCTGATGATGAAGAAACTAACTCAAATACATCAGAATCTGTCAGAATAGAAGGAAATGAACTTCAAAATCCAAATTCTTCAAATAATTCTGAAAATAATTCCAATAATTTGGCAAAATCTAGTTCAAAACATTTAAATAACCATAAACTTGTGCTAAATCAGAAAGGGGAACTAGGATTTTACGATGAAAATGGAAAATTTTTGAAAATTTTACAAGAATATAAAGCATTTAAGAACGAAAAAGGAGAATATGGCTTTTATGATGCCAGTGGACACTTCATTAAGTGTCCAGATGGTAAATTAGTCCAAAATGAAAAAGGAGAAATCGGATTTTTCGATGAAAATGGAAAATTTGTTATTTATAACATGAAAAATGGATTGATGTACGGTCCAAAAGGGAAACTTGGTATTTTGGATGCGAATGGAAACTTTGTTGAGTCAAAAGATTCAAAAATTGTTTTGAATGAAAAAGGAGAAAAAGGAATTTACGATCAGAACGGAAATTTCGTTTTACTGAATGGTCCTAAGCACAAACCTGGTGATATTGGCTTCTACGACGTCAAAGGAAACTTTACAAAAATGCCTGAAGGAAAACTTGTTGCCGGAAATGACGGAGAGATGGGATTTCTCGATGACCAAGGCAATTTCGTGAAGATTCCTCAAGGAGGACTTCAAGTTGGAAAGAATGGCGAAATGGGATATTTTGATGATACAGGAAAGTTCGTGAAACTGCGAACAAACTCACAGAGGAAAGGGATTGTTGATAAGGATGGTAATTTTGTCCCATTTTTGGCAATTTCAGACAATCAAAATAATAATTCCGAAAAAACTCAAGTTCCAATGCCCAGAGTCAAATCAGAAGGCGGCATAAGGAACAAATATGAGAAAGACACCGTTAAAGACGGATTAGTCAAAGGTCCAAACGGAGATTACGGAATTATCGATGAAAATGGGAATTTCATTGCAAGTTCTGAAGGAAAAATCGTTTTGAATGATTCTGGAGAACGAGGAATCATCGATTCCAATGGAGTTTTCCATAAATTACCTCAAGGAAAAGGTCCTTTTGTAAATGAAAAAGGTGAAGTAGGTTTTTACGATAAAAACGGTTATTTCGTAACTCTTGATCATGGAAAACTTTCCATTGGACCTAATGGTGTTTTAGGAACATATGATGAAAACGGAATCTTTATTGAATGTCCAGATGTCAAGTTAATTGTTCTTGATAACGGAGCAAAAGGATATTATGATTCCAAAGGAAATTTCATCATTTTAGTTCATGCCACAAATAAAATTCCATGTGAAGGATATTCTTCACAACATAGATCCCAATCCACAACAACGTATCATAGGAAATCATATAGATTTTCCAGTACAAGTCGCAGTAAATCTCCTCAAAGAATTTATTGGACACCTGACGTAATTCCTCCAAATATTGTTTTGGACAGAAATGTCGCAATTCAAAGGTTTTTGGATGGTGATTTGAGATTCCTTCAATGTATAAAGAATTTCCAAGTTATGGATGGCAGATTGAACTTGAATATTTTCGAGTACATTGAAACGCAAAGACTCAAAACAGTTCCACAATCTGGATTCTTTAATTTCGAAAATTCTGTTCCGCAAAGAAAAATTTCACCAAAAATTCCTTATTCTGCAGATTCTTTTTCAACTCCTCGTAGTGAAAACTATAAGAGGATAATGACAGCCAACTACAGATATAATAACACAGAAGAAGTAGATGGCTTCTATTCGCCTAGAGAACCATATTATGACAGGATTTCTTCTGTTCCTTGTTCTCCAAGAGCAAGAGAAAGTCCTGTTTCAACTCCAAAGACTCCTGGGGTTTTCACTCCAAGAGCAAGAAGAAACTCTGGCAGGATTGTTATTCCTTTCAATGGAACAACACCTGTCAGTCAGCTTTTCCCTTCATCATCTTACTCTCCACTTATTGTGAAGAGATTTGTAAGAATTCCAAAATTATAATTTTATTTGTTTGTTTTTTATATATAGATTAAATATTTCTATGCGATATTAGTAAGTTAAATTGAGTTTTATTTTTAAAGCAAATATCTCATAATAATAGAGGAGAAACTACTCTTTGTTATACAGTCCTTTAAAAAACCAGATGTATATTTATCCAAACGCCTCATTGTCATCATGAACTAATGTTTAAAAACAAATAAACATGAATATTTTGTGATATGATCTATGAATTCAAGAATTTTGTTAACTAATCATAAACTTTCTTCTGAATGGTTAAAATGTAATGGGCATTATTTTAAAACATTTATAATTTTACAGAATATGAATCATTTGCTGTGAAAAAAAAACATTCCAAAACCAAAAGGCAAAAATTAAATGCACAATTATTGAATTTTCATTCATTTTACTTTGGCAATCACTTAATTACTTAATTCAATAAATGGACGATTCGGACATTTCAGAAAATGCATTTTTGTAAGCTGTTTGAATTCAATTGATGATTTATGTTTAGAGAACTTCGAACTGTAAAGAGAAAATGAACTTTTATGTGCTTGTGGTTTGTAATGAATATGTAGACTTGATTTGATGTCAATTTGAAAGATGGATGAATAAAAAAACAAGACATTTTTGGAACCAATAATTAAAATTGCTATCAAATAATTTATTCATACACAAATATTATATGAATGTATGAATTGTTAAATTTTCAAATTGAGAGCCATTTTCACATCGATATGTATGAAATTTGGTGATGTATTTGGAACCGAAATGTCATGGACCATGTAAAACAAGAGTATTTTCAACGAACACACATAAAAAATTAGTCTCAGAAAAAAATCGTTTGTCATGAAATTTTTTTAGATGAATATAATTACCTTATTATATGTAGAATAAAATAATCGTGTTTTTCGAAATTTAATAAAAAACGTGTTTCTGAAAATTAATTCTCAAATGCAAAAATAAATATAAGTGAAATAAAGAAATTATCCAAAGAGATTTCCACTTTTTCAATAGCAGGATTTTTATCCATATTCAAAGTTAGATTTTTATATTGGTAGGCATATTCTAATATAACTTATTTTTAATAATTCATTTCAAATTTGTGATGTGGGAGTTATTTAGAGGTAGGGCAACGATAGGTCAAAAAGGCTTCTCTGATAGATTTCCTTGCCTTTTGGATATGCTATAATATATAGCCTAGCATGATAGGATATGATGTCAAAAGTTAGAACATAACTTAGGATCTTGAGAAAAATGAAAAACAAAAATTACATAAAAAAAGAAAAATTTTATCTAATTTGTTTTTTTGGACCGAATAAGTAATTTTATTGAATTTCAATACGACACATAGATTTTATTATTAGTAATAAATATAATGGTTTACTATTAACAAGGAACCTAAACTAATGAAAATTTGATTTCAAATATTGTATATGATTATCATAGATTACCAAAATATATTGCTATTTATGAGGATATAATATTGATTATTAGTAAATCGTATAAATTTAATAAATATACCATGAATATTGAATGAATTTCTTGATTCATAGGGGTAAAACGCGCTTTTATATGATTTAGACAGAGAATTTATGAGATGTAAATAACACAATAAAGGTTTATATTGAATATTTTCTAAAAATAAATCGAAATTATAAAAAACAATACATTTATTCATTGAAACTACTTGGACAAATATGAAACAAGCATTCAGGCAATACTTTTGAGACTTCAACGCATCTGATAATTTTTATATAACTTCACCTCTTATGCTTAGAGTGGAGGTATTGAGATCGTATAAGTATAGATGAGCTCACATTCAGATATGATGTGTGAACTTCTGTTTTCACTGCAATTTTGAATCAGAATAAACTCAAAACAAGAATAAAATGATATACTCACTCTCTAAATGTGTTCGAGATTTAAAGTTGTATGAATAAAACGATTCATCTTTCGAAGCCTCCCATTTAATGAGAGACTTCGAAAGATGAATGTATTCATGTAGATGAAATACTATATATGACCATGTGTGATACTAAAGATATCAAAATGTTCATTTTTAAGTGCAATAGAAGGGTTATCTCTCGTAAAATCTCAATTGAAGGAAGATTTAGAAAGAACTCCTTTCCTAAGTAGATAGTGTGTGGTTTCTGTCTTTTGGTTGATCAGGAACTATGAAATTAAGTCGGACAGAAAGAAGTTCTTTCCAAAACAGACTCCAAATGAGTTGTTCGAAAAGAACTTCCTTCTGTATATGGATAATTGTAGTTACCGCACTGAAGTATGTGATTGTGATGATGGAGTTCTCGATAAATCTAAAATCGGATTAAGATTAATTGAAAACTCAAGTAATTCTTTGAAATCTTGTGTTGTCTGGCACTATAATAACCAAAGAATGAGAATATTATGTTGAATGATGAGTACGTGTGCTCGGCATTCGCCGAGCGAATTGAGTTTAACGTACTATGAAAAGTGACAAATTTGGGCTTTTTTTCCTAGGGTTATGATCTCTTCCTTTCTGCTCAATACGACAGAAATGAAAGAATGAATTTGTACTCCCTAATTGATTACTACAATCTGTATCTATCTTTAACATAGAATTAGCTGCATTGTGATTTATACTCCAGAATTATTCAATTTAAGATCAACCTCGTAAATTTTAATCATATTGCACCAATACTCCTACGTTGAGATAAGAACATGATTATACATACCAAAGCCCCATATTAAAAATCAAAATTTAGCACCTCCATTATGCAACCACATTATTCGTCGCAAATAAGTATATTTACGCATATTATAATGCATATTCACACAACTCGTATACATGAAAAGTTATTAAAATCAGACAAAATTATTGCAATAAGGAAAAAAAAACAACTTTATTATATATGTTAGTAATGAATTACAAATATTTCTACAAAGAATGCTCAATACTTCATATAATCTTCGAATATTTCTTATTACAAGTTAATACATTTTGACTCGAACATGATAAACAAAAGCTGACACGCTGATTACTACATTTATGAAAATATAGTACGTTTCCATTCATCTGTTTACTTGTTTTTGTTGGAATAAAATCATTTTTTTTTTTTCATGAAATAAGAATTTTGCTGCGAAAGCAATATCTCTAACAATAATTAATACATTACGTCAACTCTGGAATGAGTATTTATCAAATATGATATCAAAATCAAAAATTAGTTGTTTTTTATGAGTAAAACGATGTAAATTGATTATTTGACTAATTATCAAATACTTTGATTTTCCAAATTTTTTTCGAAATTGATTTTTTCATGTGAAAATTCAAATTGTTTAATTTCATTTTTGAAATTTTAAATTTTTTTTGGAATTTTGAGTTGATCAATTCAGCAGAATTGATAATGCTATTGCTTTAGGGCATACCACAAGGTGATGAATAAAAGGTGAACATTAACAAATTATTTTAAATCACAAATATCATCCTCATCAACTTTAATTCTAAAAAGAACTGTACTGAATTATGAAAATGCATGATTTACATTATTAAAATCTTTGAATGAAAATAGTACAAGATAAGTTTTTATTCATTTTTAATTAGATTTAAACGAAAAACTACTCCATATTAAAATTTAAGTCGAGAAATCGTATTTTGTTCTTATTTGTTAGCATTTTGTAGACATTCTAATCTTGAATTAATTTGTTACATGATATTATTAACAAATTTAACTGAAAAAATATGTTAATATGGAATAAACCATGATTATATAAGCTATCAATGTTATATATCATATGTAAAAGATTCATATTAACTCAATTAAAAAAATGATAGATTTTCATAAAGGTTCAATCTAGGTTCGTCCGAAAATTTTGATTTTTATATAGAAGACATAGTTTCATATACATAATTAAATTTTCAAACAAATTTGATCATACCATTTATTAAGCAGGATAGTATATTAATTACTATCAGTATAAAAATATAAAAATGATTATATTTAATTATTGCATAATTTAGTCAAAGAGTTATAAGCCTCAAGTGATCGTTATCACCTTCAATGCACGTATACTTTATTGATTCATAGATATTTAATCTATGTTTGACATGTTGTTGTCGTCATTCGTTTTGTTCCCATTCTTCCTAAGTTAGAATTAGAGAATACACCATCCACATCATCTAATTTGGTCCTCAGCGATAGATTGGTTCATTTTGGAGGAGTCCCATCAGACAGTTTTCGAGCACCAAATATCAAATTTTAATGTATACAAATCTTTAGTGATTTATCTCTTTTATGATGAGTAAAAGGTTTCTGCTCATCAACATTTGATTTCCGACATATATGATTTCTAATTGCAATTATTTACTTTCTTTTTATAATCTAACTCTGTGACTCATACCATAAATTAATTATTGGAAAGTGTCAAAATGTTTGGCACAACGCATAGCGGAAGATACCAAACCATGCAGGGAATATGATACGTTTAAGATCTCCGAACTTTTTTTCCAAAAATTTTCTATCGTTGCCCTACCTCTAGTTATTTTTGAAATCTTCTCAAACCTGATTTTTCTTTTGTAATAATCTGAAAAATATTTGATCCTATGTCGTATTGTTGTAAACAGAAATTCATCAAAAGTGACACCTCAGAAAAGCTAAAATATTGAATTTTTGGAACTTTTGATAGAGCACGTTTTTAAATATTAATTAAAGTAAATGTATATTTTGTAAAAATTCTTTTTAATAAAAAAATAAAATTTTGAAGAAGAACACAAAATCTTCTGAAAAATAATATCACATAAACTCATATTATTTTCTAATATATAACTATTTTATATAAAAATCAAATTCAATGATCTTAAAAGCGAAGGATAAACCTCAAAATTTACGAATATAATGAGTGGGAATATAATGCTTATCTATCATAAAACCATATGAAATATCAATTTTTGCTTTACGCCTAATTTTTTGACGACAATTAGCAAAAAATGTTAAATGTTAACACTCAGTCCATTTGAATATAAAAATAAAATTGACTTTGATTAAATGTTTTATTTATCATGCAATTCTTCTTGCGACCAAAGATTTGAATAAAAGTTCAAAAAATAAGATAGCTTAAAAAATAATATACGGTAGTGTTTACTAATAGATGAATAGTATATATTAAATTCTATTAAAATGGATTTGATCCAAAAAATATATAAAATTTATGATCATAAATAAAATCGTTTTAAATTACTTCTTCATTTAAATTATAACAATTGTTTTTTGGTTTTATATTTTTTTGGATCAAATCCATTTTAATAGAATTTATATACTATTCATCTATTAGTAAACACTACCGTATATTATTTTTTAAGCTATCTTATTTTTTGAACTTTATTCAAATCTTTGGTCGCAAGAAGAATTGCATGATAAATAAAAACATTTAATCAAAGTCAATTTTATTTTTCATATTCAAATGGACTGAGTGTTAACATTTAACATTTTTTGCTAATTGTCGTCAAAAATTAGGCGTAAAGCAAAAATTGATATTTCATATGGTTTTATGATAGATAAGCATTATATTCCCACTCATTATATTCGTAAATTTTGAGGTTTATCCTTCGCTTTTAAGATCATTGAATTTGATTTTTATATAAAATAGTTATATATTAGAAAATAATATGAGTTTATGTGATATTATTTTTCAGAAGATTTCATTCTATATGCCTATGAAAAGTACTCTCAAAACTAACTTTTTCCTAATTATAATTAAATCTAGAATATTGTATTATGCTTAGTATTATTTCATTTTTCTCATTCAATTTAGAATTTACAAATGTCAAAAAATTGAGAGCTGTCACTTTTGATGAATTTCTGTTTATTACAGTATAATATTCAGATATGAAAATTAAAACAATCAAGATGTAAACTTAAGAAAACATAAAATGGATGTTTTCGATGAAAATAATACGACAATAAAAGAGGAAAATCCATTATCATTGGATGATCCATTTTCGGGATCGCCTTTATCAAGTACTCCAATACCAGAAACGCCTAAAAAAGAAACCACTTCTAAGAAATCAAAATGGACTCCAGAAGAAGATCGAATGCTCATTGAAAGTGTTACGAAACATGGAATGAGTAATTGGTCTCTAGTTGCTACAGAAGTGCAAGGTAGATCCGGAAAACAATGTAGAGAAAGATGGACCAATCAACTTTGTCCATCATTAAATAAAGATAACTGGACACCTCAAGAAGATCAAATTCTAATAAAACAGCAACAGATTCATGGGAATATGTGGTCTAAAATTGCACATTTCCTTCCAGGGAGATCATCAAATTCTGTAAAGAATCGTTGGTCTTGGCTATCGAGGCACCGTTTATCTTTAACAAGTCAAATGCCATTTGCTCAACGAATGCAGGCTTCAATTCCTGCAATTAAACAAATACAAACCTCTCATTTTAAGGTGGTACCACCAATTCCTCAAATCTATCAGACGCAACAGACTTGTCCCCAAGACATGAGTTGGGGTTCTAATACTGGATCATCAACACCAACAATTCCATTTTCCGATCCAAATTCATATCCAAATGTTGGTAGTCAGTCATCCAGTTCTAACTTCTCTCTAGAAGATCCGTTTGAAGGCAATACGATGCAGTTTAGAAATCAAATGTCTGATCTTGAAATGGATGATGGTCCGTTATCCATGGATGATAAGTTAGATACTTACTGGGATAGCGGATTTTAATTGTATTTATTTTGTTTTTGTTTTGTTTGTTTTGTATTTTTAATGTAATAAATTTTATTCTTATATTCTATCCCATATTTAATGACTATTTTTAATAGTGCATAATCCTCATAATGATGGTATGATAATAACATTATCAACACAAAATTGATCAATAATATTTGAAGTATATATTTTGTAGATCGATAATTCATTATCCAATTAATCAATTTACTATAGTTGAAGAAAATGATACAAAAAGATTTGTTTTGAAGGAGAATGAAATTTTAATGATTAAAATCAACTAACTGTAAAGAAAAGAACTATGTTCTGTATTCTACTTTTAGTTCTTCTTGCAGCACTGGCATCCTTCGCAGCACTTGCAGCCTTCACCACAGCAGCCATTCTTCTTGCAGCATTCGCATTGACCGCCCTTTGTGCATGCACACTCTGGACCACATTGGCATTCTGGTCCGCACTTGCAGTTAGCACAGCATGGTGCTTTCTTGCAGCCTTCACCACAGCAGCCATTCTTCTTGCAGCACTCGCATTGACCGCCTTTTGTGCATGCACACTCTGGACCGCACTGGCATTCTGGTCCACACTTGCAGTTAGCACAGCATGGGGCCTTCTTGCAGCCTTCATTGCAGCATGAACACTGAGACATTTATCTAATGTTTAAAGTGAAATGAATGCAAATCCAACCAATTTCTGTTCTTATTTTTTGAATAGTTGTAAATGTACATAAGTTCTCAAATTAATTTGCTAGTGTCAAACCTCCTCATTTTCTGAAGAAAAATAACCGTTATTAATTTATGGACAATTTAATAGAGAGCTATTTCCGATTTAGATTTAAATAAAATATTTTTCTATTGAAAAAATTGAATTTTAATAAAATCATCTTAATTTTAATCAATGATATGAAGTGTAATCTGTGTATAGGAAACGATTTATCTCAAATATTTTGAATTGTTATGAAATTAGTAGTAGGATAGGATGGGTTTTGTGACTTTTTTTGTAAACGTAAGAATTCATACAATATCGAGCGATTTTGTATCATTTTTTTAACATATGAAGTAAAAAATGTATGATTCTTACGGTTTTTATTCTTACGTTTTTGAATATATCAAGATTTAAAAAATTTTCAAAATTGTAAGACATTTACACTCAGCCCATACATAATGAAATAAAAATAAAATTTTTTTTAAAAAATAAACTAAAATAATTTATTTTATCTTTTATAAAAGAAGCTATATATAGATGATGTCAGATATTCCACGATTAATTAAACATTGTTTAAATCCTGAATGGAATCATGAAGTCATAATCAAAGACCCATAAACGAGTAAAAGAAATTAGAAACTAATGATTATTTGAATTTATGAAATCAATTATTTGATTCATTCTTTCTTCAATCTCTTCTATTCTTTTTGTTAAATCATCTATTTTCATTAATGAGGTGATTCTTGATTGGGGAATAGTTCAAACTAACCACTCCTTTTATTTTTTGAAATTTTGAATCCATCAACTTTAAACATTTTATTCAATTTACACGTTGTCAATTCTTTCAAATAATTTTTATTATTGGCATAATAGTCATTAAATTCTTCAACAGATGAAAAAATTTTATTCAGTAATTGGTTTAACAACGTTTATTTTTTGTTGAACATTTCACTTTCATTTATTTCTTCCTCCTCTGTTTCATTTATTTTTAAAATCGGTTTCATTTATCATTAAATAAAAATTAGAATATAAGTGATGAAATATATTTTTTAATTAATATTAAATCAGTGTTGTAAACAGAAATTCATCAAAAGTGACACCTCAGAAAAGCTAAAATATTGAATTTTTGGAACTTTTGATAGAGCACGTTTTTAAATATTAATTAAAGTAAATGTATATTTTGTAAAGATTCTTTTTAATAAAAAAATAAAATTTTGAAGAAGAACACAAAATCTTCTGAAAAATAATATCACATAAACTCATATTATTTTCTAATATATAACTATTTTATATAAAAATCAAATTCAATGATCTTAAAAGCGAAGGATAAACCTCAAAATTTACGAATATAATGAGTGGGAATATAATGCTTATCTATCATAAAACCATATGAAATATCAATTTTTGCTTTACGCCTAATTTTTGACGACAATTAGCAAAAAATGTTAAATGTTAACACTCAGTCCATTGAATATGAAAAATAAAATTGACTTTGATTAAATGTTTTTATTTATCATGCAATTCTTCTTGCGACCAAAGATTTGAATAAAATTTCAAAAAATAAGATAGCTTAAAATAATATACGGTAGTGTTTACTAATAGATGAATAGTATATAAATTCTATTAAAATGAATTTGATCCAAAAAAATATAAAACCAAAAATAATTGTTATAATTTAAATGAAGAAGTAATTTAAAACGATTTTATTTATGATGAAATTTTATATATTTTTTGGATCAAATCCATTTTAATAGAATTTATATACTATTCATCTATTAGTAAACACTACCGTATATTATTTTTTAAGCTATCTTATTTTTTGAAATTTTATTCAAATCTTTGTCGCAAGAAGAATTGCATGATAAATAAAAAACATTTAATCAAAGTCAATTTTATTTTTCATATTCAAATGGACTGAGTGTTAACATTTAACATTTTTTGCTAATTGTCGTCAAAAATTAGGCGTAAAGCAAAAATTGATATTTCATATGGTTTTATGATAGATAAGCATTATATTCCCACTCATTATATTCGTAAATTTTGAGGTTTATCCTTCGCTTTTAAGATCATTGAATTTGATTTTTATATAAAATAGTTATATATTAGAAAATAATATGAGTTTATGTGATATTATTTTTCAGGAGATTTCATTCTATATGCCTATGAAAAGTACTCTCAAAACTAACTTTTTCCTAATTATAATTAAATCTAGAATATTGTATTATGCTTAGTATTATTTCATTTTTCTCATTCAATTTAGAATTTACAAATGTCAAAAAATTGAGAGCTGTCACTTTTGATGAATTTCTGTTTATTACATCAGAAATGGCGGCAGGATTCTTTAAAAAATTATGGGATGGAATTAAGAAAGCTGCGGGTTGGGTTCATAAAAAGATTATTAAACCCATTGCAAACTTTTTGGCACCAGTAGCGAAAACGGCAGGAACTATCATAGGTGGAGTATTAGGTACTAAAGCAGGTAATCCGATGATGAGCACAAGCAGGTAACGCAATTGGTGGAATAGCTGAAGAATACTTAATAAAATAGGGGGTAGATAGTGGAAAAATAAATTATTTTAAAATTATTTTATCTTAGTATCGGTTGTAGTCTTTGATAAACTTTTTCTCCTTTATTTAAAACTTCTCTTATTGGGGCAGCTTTTGGTGTTATTGATTCAGCAACGTCACTAATTGCTTCTTTATTCTTAAATATCCAATTTGCTCCCTTCTTCAATGTTTCCCAAACTTTACTCGCCCCTCTTTTTACTCTATCCCACAGTTTCTTAAATATACCCGCAGCCATAGTTGATTATTTCATTAAAATTAAAAATTCATTTTCATCTTTTAATTTTGATTTTTTATTTATTAATAAATGACGACTAACTATTTAGTGCCAAACACCAAACTGATTAATGGAAATGTGTTTCATTCATTCGAAAAGATAAATGAAATATTCGCAAAGAATGACGGTAGAAGATATTATAGAGAACTTGAAAGTTCATGCTATGACTCTGATGCTCCATATTTTGATGATAAACAAACTCATTTAAGAATTACAAATCCAGCTCATGATGTGAACCAATTAGGTGACACATATATTAAACGCAAAGTTAAAGCAACTCTAGTTTCAAATAAAGCTTTCACATGTGATGCCGCTTTTAAATGTATGCGTTTATTCGTTGGTTACAAATCATCAAATCAAAGCTTTAAACAATTAGAAGGAGAAACCGAAAGAGGTGATGCCGGTTATCTTCAGATGGACTGCGCCCGTGAATCTTTTGCATTTGCAACATATAAACCAAAATCAGAAAGGAAAGTTAAAAAGTTTGTTCATTCGTTATATAATAATGTTCAAAAATATGATAACTCAGTATGTGGTAAATATATTGACCCTTCAGAAGTTTTCAAGAAAGCAAATGAAGAAGTTGATGTCACTTTTGATATGATTATTCCGGTAAATGATTTGTTAGCATTTCAGGCGTTCGATGATTATCCTAAATCATTTGGTGATATCATTCTTAAATATTATGTTTTCAGGGATACTTTAGTATTTTGTCAGGTTGACCCGTTAAGAGTTGCTGATTTACAAAATTACGTTTATGAAAAGATAACTGATGAAAATTATGAAAAGATTATGAATCATGTTTATAAATATGATCGCAAATTCCAACAAATCGGACTTCCTGCCAAATTAATTACAAGCTTAGCCGCCACATCTGCTGACGCAATAGTTGATGGCGTTATTATTTCATGCACAAAGATGGAAGTTTTAGAGGATAAATGCATTACACCAGGATACGGTTTAATTGAAGAATCAGTTAAAGCAATACCACGTTTATTCAGTAAGGAAGATCCATTCATGATTCCAGCTCAACATATTGACGTTCGTTCACTAAATGGAGGTTGCATCACTCCTGAAGGTATTAGCTCAGATTTCTCATACGCTCTTCATAATGTTACAGATGTTGTGTTAACATTTCCGAAGAATGCAATGCAAAGAACGGTTTTAGAAAATCCAATGCTTCGAGGTCTTCAGGTCACTATAGATTCCAGAAACTTCCCCGATCAAGCGATGACCACAGTGGGTGACATATTCTTTACACGTATGCTTCAAGCTTCTGATTTAGATGGAGTGAATGAATGCACGGAAGAATACGAGGACTCATTAACTAGACCACTGAATGATGATGATGGCATACCATTAGCTAGAACATGGAAAGACCAAACTTCATTCTTATGCACTATTCCAGTTCAACGTGGTGGAGCTGGTATATTCTTTGATGGATTAGAAACTTTCAACTCACAAGTTACAGTACAAGTGAAAGCTTATCCAATCATTCAGGGTGAAAATGACACTTACTGTTCAAAGGTGACAAATCCTCCTCAGGTTTGGTTTACTAGGACTACATATTGGACATGGACACCGGATGAAGGTTTGAAATATCATCCAACAGGTACACCACCGCAGTATAGAAGTTCATATGATGAAATATTGATGAATAGAAATGTTTAAAATTATAAATTTATTTTTGATTAAATGGATTTAAATTCATCCACCCCTTATGAAGAATTAGCAGGAGTATATAATACATACGTAGATGATATGATTAATGAAGCATTGAGTGATAATAGAAATGCTCTATCTAAGGAAAAATTAATGAAAATTCCATATTCTGAATTTACTTAAATTCAATCACTGCAGCAATTGGTAAACAGAATAAAGGTAAAACATTAACGATATTAAAACAAATTATCATTATTGCTAACACTTCCCCCTATTCACATGTGTTAATTTATATCAACCGTTCAGGTTCACCTTCAGATGATACATTTGAATCTTTAAAGCATTTAATCAAAATTCCAATTATTTATTTATCACAAGAAGAAGCAGAAGATTATTTAAAAAACTTTTTAATGTATAAAGAATTATATAATACAATCAAGAAGCAAGGATTAGAGGATAAAATTATTGATAAACAACGGGATGAATTATTTGAAACACTTTCTATTTCAAATTTTGATAGAGAATTTTTGCATTCACTCATTTTTCTAGATGATGCAGTGAAATCAAAACTAATAACAAACGAGAAATCATATTTTAATCAGTTATTAACTCAATGTCGACACATTCAGTGTTCATTCTTTATGGCTGTTCAATATTTCAAAGCATTAAGCACAAACATTAAATCAAATCTATCAACACTTTTCATTTTCAGTGGTTTAGTCGTCAACAGTTGAACGTTATGCTTTATCAAGTGAATTTACCAATGAGCATTAATGAACTTTACACACAATATCAGCAATTAGGTGAATATGGAAAAATAATAGTTGATTTAAATAAAGGAGTGTTAAATTTGATTAACTTTTTATAATTAATTTTTATTTTTTATTTATAATTAAACATGACAGAAATAGCAAATCTTCTACAGGTTCCATTAAAACAAGGACAAACAAAAAGGGTGCATATAATAGAACTATGAAAGTTCCTGATGGAATGAAAGAATTAGTTCATATTGTTGCTGGTCTTCAAAAAAGATGTTAAACAAATGAGAAACGTTTTAACATTACCAGAAGCTCAAGCATATGCCAAACGTCAAGGTCCAAATTGGAAGCACACGAAGCAGACATTACGTCCAAATGGAAAACCTGATGGTATAAATGAAGTTTTCGTTACTGATGGTCAAGGTAATATTAAAGTCATAAATGGTTACAAATTAACTATAACTGATTATCCTAAACGTAAAGCATATAATGAACGTTATCCTATGCAATTTGATGAAAATGGAAAAGCTGTTAAACAATACATTGGAGAAGGTGAAAATGGTCCAATTAATTCATACCGTTATAATCCATATTCTTATTTCAATGAAGAATTAAATGCTATTGAAGAGGGACCGGATGGATTACCACGATATTCTAACCAGTTTGATGGTCAATATGCAAATATTAGACCTGAAATTTCAGCTAAGAAATTCTTTAAAGTTGCTTTATTCGATCCAGTTTTCGCAAATGTTAAAGATGAACTTAAACAGCAATTCCAACCAATTATAGTAGCAAGAATTGCATCAGGTGCTTTATCTCAAGCATTCAAAGATTTAATTAAGAAACCATTATATCAGCAACAAGGTTTAACTTATGATTTAGTTAAGGAATCAGATAAAAGAAAATTTGAGAAATCAGATGATTATAAGAATGCAATTAATGAATATATTAGGTCTATTAATTACAGTGAACCAGCTAAAAATCAACTTCATGAACAAATACAGGGAATAATAGATTCAAAAGTTCCAGCAAAATAAAAGTTTAAATATATTTTTTTATTCGAATATAAATGAGAAGACGTTTCACTAGTCAAAAGAACACTAACGCAAAAGCAGAGATTACGGTTGTTATAACGTAAATGATGATAAATCACGAATTATTCAAAATGTTAAAGTTAATGTTAGCCCCGAATTAAACAAGGTCAGCAACTCAACCAAATTTATTAACTCGTGACTTACCGAAGAATGAGGAGAATGAAGAAAACCATGAGAATGGAGACCCAATCATTTTATCTGAACCCGGTAAAGAACCTGTTGAAATTCCCACTTATCCAACATACCCCCACCTCTTTCATCAAACATCGAGAACCCATATAAAATAGACATTAATTCTGAATTAATGAAAATTTACCGTGATATAATAATTAATAATTATGATTCAATAATAAATTTAATTGACCAATCCGGTTTAATTATTTTACCTTATGAATCATTAATTCACATTATCGCCATTCTTTTGATGTTCAAGATTCAGACGTTAAGATTCAATTTTTCATAGATGATGAGGTTTCATGCTGCGGAACAGTTGCAAAAATAAATCCTATAAAGGATATTAGCACAATTAAGATATCAAAGAATGGAAACAACAACTGAACTTCATTTAACATATAATGATATTTATAATAAAATAGTTGATGAATATAAAATATCACTTGAAAAATTCTTTGTTAAGGCTATTTAATATTCAAGCATTAACATTATCGAATAATAATCCTTTGAATCATAATCAATAATAATTGACCTTTCACCAGTTTCTATCGTTTGTTTTATTTCTTTTTTGTTCCCCACTATCCGGATCGGTCATTGTAATTTTGTTATTAGTATCAGCTTTATCTTTAACTTCAATCTTTTTTCCATCGGGATATTTAAACCAAAATTCCAAAAATTCGATATTGTCAATCTGTTCATATTTAATCTATCAATTACATTTTTAATACCATCTGAAAATCTTATGAAATGGTCATTATATGGGTTTTGATTGAACTAAATTTGAATGAAGTGAAATATAACCTGTTGATGAATATGACACTGACTCATATTTTCTGAAAACACTAAAATTTATAACATGAATGAATTTCTTATTCGTTGAATTTATGAATTCTTGAGGTAATCTTATTCTAGTTTTATTTATCACTGGAAAATAACGCTTTACCATATTTTTAATCGTAATAAAAATGTCAATTATCAATATTATTTCGAATAATAGCTGTGAATTAAATTTAACAGTTAGCGGAATTTATAATGTTACTCTCGTTTCTGTGAGTGGTAAATTTAATCTCATTCTTTTAGACCCTTCAGATTATATATCATTTATTAAAGATGACCTTGAAAAAACGTATGATATGTATATAAATAAATGTGATAGCGAAATGGGATATTAACATGATTTTAAGTTATTTAAATGAATCATTTATCGTATGGTATGAAGAAAATTTTTAAATCAAAACCCGATAAACTTTTTGAACTTGATGAAATAAATAACCTTATTAAATTCCCGCTGAAAATTAAATTTTGTACTCCTCATCTTACGTCTTGTTTGGGATATTAAATTTTGAAAAAGATGTTGGGGATGTTTTATATTCTACACTGGTTCCAATTTCATTTTAATCAAATGTGATAAAGTTAATACCCCAATGAGATTTTCACATCAAACATTAGACCCTAAACTCTTACCATCATACAAAACATTTTATCCATCAACTTAAACACATTTTCTTTATCATATCCGTTTCAATTATCGGGAATTCATTTATTCTTCATTCAAAAGATTTATCAAATATTAAATTTAGAATAACTGACCTATTTGATTTGATTTTTGAATGAAATATGAAATGAAATATTATGGCAATTTCAAATAGAGAAAATAGCTGATGAGATAACGGATTAAATATTTATTTTTAAATCATAATAAATGATTAAACAACAGCAACTTAAGGCGCAAAGCGCCCAGGTCCTTCAGACCATTACATACGCATATATGCATATAATTCAAAGACGGCAGAACAAACGCAAAGGTTGAAATATGGAGATTTGGAGATAGTATTGAAAAATGACCATTTCGAATTTGTTTGCAAAGGTGGTGCAGTGATATCAAATATAAAAGAAAATTTTATTTATGAATTCAAAAATTAAAGGAATAACGGATGATATAACATCAATTCCACCAGAAGAACAGATATATACGCATTAAATGCATTTCCTAAAGTTTTGAAGATTGGAAGATTTAATTTAAATGAGGAATTCATAGAGGTTTCCTAAACGACATAATGAAGAAGGTGGATAAGGAATATGTGGATAGTGAATTAAATAAGAAGGCAAATTTGGTTATGTTGATGAAAAATAATGAAATTAAAGAAAAGGTTGAATGGTATCATGAATGGACACGGAGACTTTTAAAGTTAAAGCTGATACAGGATGG